AGATAGCGGATAGTATGATGCATGGCTTTGCGGGTTGCTTTCTCATTGTCACGCTGCAAAATGTGTTGGCACACACAGACATACAGACACACACACCCATCATTGTCAGAGAGAAAGCAAAGAAATAAAACGGCATAATGACGAACATGTCATCTGATACGGGTACCCATACTAAGTCTTAATGTAACTCTAGATCACTTTCTTTAAGGCACAGAGCCTGAGAGCCATGCCAACATGTCCTACAACACATTTTGTCTCAAACCAACCAACCAAGTGAACATTTTACTACAATCCGCTCCAAGATGTGGAAGTCACGCGAATGATACAAAATTTCTGAAAGTAGGCCCAGTAATATCATGACATTCAGCACCCAGGCAAACACATAATGAATTCAGCACAACAAGTGTCGGTACTTCGAAGTACCATGGACAGACAGGTCAGGGTATAAGTTACTGCACAGCACTCCTGGAAGATCACTACAGGGTGCAATAGTGCTGCTGCTGCTGCATTACACTGGTCGGTGACCTTAACAGTGATTATAAGTTACCCCGTTGTAACCTTACTGGAACGATGTCCACGCTCGTCTTCTTACTCCTCCTCTCTACGAGCTCTTGCAGCTTTGCTGTCTCCTCTTCAGAAAACTCATAGCCGCTATCAGACATCTATCAAACACATGGGAAACACAACAGTCAGTACAAAAGTCATGTACGTCTGCCGAAGAATGTAGTCGAAGACTCCACTACAGCTGTGTTCACGGTAGAGAATAGGTGCTCAAAGACACGCCCAGTAAAATGGTGGCACATATAAATATACACCTGCCAGCACACGCACCACAGGCATGTATTTACCGCCACTTTGCCAGGTGTATATTTTACCACCATTGTTCAACTTCTAAAAAAAACCCTGAACAAAGCTGGGCATGAACAGCACGAAATTACATTTCAAACATGTGCAATCTCAGGGAGTACAAACAAGCCTTCGGGTGCTTTATCCCTACACGCACTTACAATGTTCTCCAATGGGCCACCAGTCTTCGGCAAGTCATAGGATGTGAGGTGCACGATGGAACCATCTCGGCGGATCTCATGCACCAAGAAGTCACAGCACGTGCACATTGAGTTAAGGAAATCCAGTACAATTTGCTGAAAATGTGTGTGCGTGCGCGGATACCCTGATGCCGTCAATCCTTTTTCTGCACCTTGTCCTCACCCACTTACTGAGGTGTGGTGAGCCCATAAGTGGGATCATTTTCAAGTCCACCCAGAGTTTTGGGGATTTCAGGGGGGTGTCGGCCGTTGGGCGGTTCAATAACCAATTGAGTCATCTTGCCAAGATTCCTTTTGAGTCTCTCTCCCCTCTCCCGGGGGGACTCACGTGACCAGTTTTGGCAGTGAGCAACAAGTACAAGTACAAGTGTGTGTGTGTGTGTGTGTGTGTGTGTGTGTGTGTGTGTGTGTGTGTGTGTGTGTGTGTGTGTGTGTGTGCGCGCATTTCCGTGTGCTCTCATGTGTGTTTCCAATTTTCCAAGACAGTTGATCTAGTCAATAGGCTTGCAAGCATTGCAAACAAGTACAGTACTGAAGTGTACTGCACTACAGTACTTCCAAGTGCATGTGGAGGATATCTTTCCTTCAGAAGCCCAAAGAACTTTGTAGCAGACTTGACATACTCAGTGATGCCAACATCAGGTTCACGCAGGACATGGCTCTGAACTGCAGGCACACAAACAAAAACAAGACCAACAGCAATTATAACAGAGCTTCTCAGGATTGTTGCATTGATGCATGCAGTCTACTAGTACTTATGATATACAGTATAAGTCAGTCATGCACGTGTGTGTGTGTGTGTGTGTGTGTGTGTGTGTGTGTGTGTGTGTGTGTGTGTGTGTGTGTGTGCGTATGTGTGTGTATGAAAACTGTAGAAGTCGCTGAATCGGTCATGGAAGAGGCTGGAAGACACCCACATCATCACTGGTCTGGAATTCGGCACCCTGCGCTTGCAAGTTCGATCCGGAATCTTTGCCTAACGGTGCATAGTATCCTCCTTGGGCCGAGACCATTCGACTCAGCACCCTAGACTCTACAGGCCCGGACGTGCTCATTTCGGAGAGTGACTACAAATTGTAGTTTTCCTTTGTTGTTTTCCTTTTTGTTTTGTTTTTCAAAAGTGGCACCATTAGACCATTTTGACAGGACATGCACTATGCAGCATGAGCAATGCCCGTCAAGTGAAGAGGTCCCATTTACAGTAATTCGTATGTTTTGTGGGTTCGACGATATTATGTATTTATTTTATAATTTACGATGCTTAAAACAATTTTTCGTTGTTGAGGGACTGATAATGATTGAAAAAGTGATTGTTTGAAACAAAGTAAATTTCTTCCAGCAGCGACTTACCTACTCCACCCATCTCAGGGAGAAGGATGGGTGCGGAATCAGCCGAATTCTGACTACCGCATTCTACATGATCAACCTTAGCACGCTTTGCTTCTGGCTCTACAGCCACATCCATGATGGAAGCTTTGGGGAGGATTGAAAAGTATTTTGGCAATAATCGGGTGCAACACCGCGGATGGGATAACCTGGATGCTCGGCCAATGGAGTATAAATTCCAGAATGCACGAAACGTCATTACATTCGGTGGACACACTATGAGTATGAGTAGTCGAGTATGACAAAACAATGTCAACACTGCAATACCACATTATAATTATTATTAGTCATTACATACACTGCAGCGTGGACTTTGAGAAGTCAACGAGCTACGTACGTACATGCAACAATGATTGAAAATAATATTAATTTTCATTCCATGATGATTTTGTGAGAAACACATAAATGGCAAATCGTGACGTTGCGCTGACATCACCACAGCAGAAATACGTGCATGTACCGGACTGTGTGATGGATGAAGTCAACGACCAGATGATGACAGGGTAAAATGTGGTCATCGATCATAGGTCAAGTCTGCGAAGTCGAAAAATAATAATCTTGTTCTTGTTTGTTGAGCTCATGAGCTAGCCCACTATTCAAAGACAAGTACCACTGTACCGGTAAATTAGTTAGTAGTCATTGTCGAGATGCCCTGAGTTTGCTTTGCTTCACTACAGTATCATCATCCATCATGGTGGCTTGGTCGCAATTGGCGGCCACCGCCGCAACGCCTTCTCGAATGGCTCTGCTTTCGTGTAGTGCGGCTGGCGTGGCTACTTTGTGGATTGGTGCGAGGGCACTGTCCTCTGGAAGAACAAGGTGAATACAACCTTATAACTTTTCCATCCCACATGAAAATTCAAATAATGCATGCGAAAAAGTTTATAATGGTGTGCAACACATACACGCTCTCAACAACTAGAATGCAGTCGTACAGTTAGTTTTGTTCTTGTACAGAACTATACATTGAATATTGTCATATTGCAGGTGTAAGTTATAATTTTTTGTTTGATTTTCTACTATTATTTTTTACAATATCCCAAAATAAATGTAAGATGAGGACGAACCTAACGCATTTTCTGGAGTGTTACCTGCACCTAGTACCTGGCCGTGGGTGTAAAATTCGTATTTTGGGACTTTTGGAGTTGTAAGCCGCACTTCAGACTGAAATTGTCACCCATCCGAGCTCAACATCCCACTGAAGTTACTGAGTGTCCAAGAGTACGTCATTTACAGTGGTAACACTCAGTTAGGGGTCATCCGTAAATACCGATATTTATTTAGAAACGAAAACTAGTCGTTTCTCTTCAACCCCCCTCCCCCCTCCCTCAGAAACGAACACATACAAACGATGCATAGTATCGATATTTTTTCTTTTCTTTTCTGGACGTACCCACACATACAAACTGTGCGTCGATATTTTTCGAGAAACGAACAGGCGCTCAACCCCCTCCCCCCTAAACGACTAGTTTTCGTTTCTAAATAAATATCTATATTTACGGATGGCCCCTTATGTTCTGGCAGCCACAATAAGTGGAATCAGTACGTCTGACATGATCGTCGCATACCCAAGATAGGTGCTGCCGACTTTCATGTCAGTTTGCATGTAGACGTTCGTCACGCAGCTGGGCAAGGTACAGCCAAAGTAAAGTTTCCCCGGAAAGGGACGGAAGAGTGCGTAATGGAGTGGGCATAAGAGTGGCGATACGGCGGCGGGAATGGAATCGTGTGAAATCCTGCCGGGAAAGAGCATCAGCAAGGATGTTGGTAGTGCCAGTCACATGGTGAGCGGTGACCATAAAGGTACCTTTGGCAGGCGCGTGCCCCGTATGGGTTCCTGGGTGCCCGGAACCCCCCCCCCCCCTTTTTTCGCTCAAAATGCAGGATTTTGCTTCATTTTTTGAAAATTTTCCCGGGGAGGCCCCCCCGGAACCCCCCCCCCCTTGAAGGGCACCGGCGCACGCGCCTGCTTGGTGCAGATGAAAAAGAGCTGCCGGAGGAGTGGGGTCACACTATGGCAGTGACTGCTGCCAGACCTGAGACTTGAGAGCAACTGTGACAGCTTCGGTGTTAAAGGGGAAGTCCGGTGAAAAATTTAAATTTCAGGGTCGGTAGAGTTTCGGGCGCTGAGTCGAATGGTGTTGGTCCCACGTGTCTCCGACAAAGCGTTCTCAAGATATTTCCGTTTGAAAAACTGAGTTTCGGGGGGCTGCGCCATGACGTCATGCGGCCGCGCCACACCCTCCGCAACGTCATAGCGTGCAGCTAGGTCAAAAGGAGTGCGTGAAAGCAATAGTGTCAGTGCTATTTCAAATGATTTGGCGACCGATAGTAGGTGGTGCAAGCGACCCCGAAGACGGAACTCCCTGTGAGAGTGAGGATGCAGCCATGGCTGACCTTCATGAGTTCGGTCTGGGGCTGAGAACCTCGGTATTCAGCTGAAGAAATGGCCGCGCGGGCCGGTCACCGTCAAGAGTGAGCGCTACTGAGTTTCCGATTGATGAAGAAGCAGCAGCTATTGCAGACGAGGCTGATGTAATTATCAGATCGCTGGAGAGCAGAGTCGCCAAAATGGAGAAGAGTGATGTGAGTGCTCTAAATGTTGTTCCATACCGATTCGCTTGGACTCCAGTAGCCTGCCATATGGTGATGTTTTGGTGCGAACTTGGCATATTTCGGACTACTCGATTGGAGAACAGTGCAGGCTCTTTAAACCAAGGTCACGACTCTTCGCTCGCAACGCTACGGGATCTGAAAGTTCTAGGTCCGGGAGCTGTTCGCTGTTTAGTGATGGTTTTATTATGACTGTACATACGACTGATACGAGTGTAGCACATGACAAGTCCGTGTGTTGACTAGTTCTTCTGAGTCTTGCGACTCGAGTCTTGTTGTAGCTACCCCAGCATGGCAGTGCGGGAGTAGTTCCGTGTGTGGTGAGTTTGTTCAGTTTGTTGACTACACTACAACTAGCATGCACGCAGCAGCGCATTGAGCCGTAGTAGTCCAACTCGGAAACGGCTAAAATACGGTATAACCTCGAGGTTTACCGAGCTGAAAATCACAGGGTACGTAGTGTTTGTAACACTGAATCGAATGGTCTTGGGCCGAATAAGCTGCGACAAACGGTTCCCCAATCGAACGCGCTCCGAATATGGCCATTTTTGTACACAAGTAGATGGTGTGGCTACCTGGCTGCACGCTGTGACGTCATCACCTGGATCTGGGTGATGCGCGCTCAAATTCGCACATGTTCGATTGGGCGTATCTGACGAACCATAGGCCGCAGCCTCCTCGGACGAAGACCATTCAACTCAGCGCCCCGAACTCAACGGACTGAAATTTAAATTTTTCACCGGACTTCCCCTTTAAAATATCAGATAACAGCTGTTTATTAGGTACCGGTGCCAATGAAGACGTCTCCAGTGGTTCAACTCTGAAGTACATGTACTGGTTGAGAAGCATGACGGAAGTTCTAGCAAAAGGTTTCCTATAGTTTTTCCTTGACAACAATGACACTCTGTGCTAGTGCAAGGATCAATTTCAGTACACGAAATGTGGTTGAATGACACCATAGACACCATGACGCCATTATACTTGCATGGAGTGCTGGTCAATTCACATGCAACATTCGAAGTCAGGCGTGGGGCGATTTTTGGGGTTTTGTCCCCCAGGACTTGTGTGTGGATGGCAGTGTACACCAGTAGAATTCTTGTTATGTTCACAAATTGCTCAATACCTGGTGGCTTCTGATGTGCTCAGCTATCGCTTTGTCGGCTACTTTCACCACTCATGTCGTTCCGCCATGTTGTAATCAGCGCAAGTACAGAGTAGACGTCCTGGGTTCTACATAGGGCTGAAACGATCGTGGATTTTCAGTTTTTTTTTTCACGTATCAATTACTCTTTAGCTTAACGATCGAGTAATTGATTATAATCGTTAGCAAATAGAGTCATACTTCTGTGCAAACATTACTCTGTTTCCACAAACTATGCCTTCATAATACCAACAAATCTGCATTAGTGAAAGGGTAGCTCCAAAACATGGCAGTTTTGAAGTCAATTTAACCTCAGAACATGAACCATGCCCCTGGCAACTGCATACTCGCAGCGGAAACTGGTTCAAACTTCACAAAACGAGGGTTTACAGTACTTTCTGGACACAAATTTAAAAAACACAAAATAATCGTAATCGGTAATCCAAACGATTGCTCGATCGTTAGTTATCAAACGAGTACTCGAGTATTCGGTATATTCGTTTCAGCCCTAGTTCTACACCAATTTATGTTGTAAACCTTTTTTACTTAGGAAAAGAACAATCTTCAGGCTCCTCACAAGCAGCCATTCAAAAAATATATTTCATGAATACTTTCAATGTCTTCTCATCAGGTGGAATACAGTCAACTTCGCTAATAACGACTGCGGATATAACGACAATTCGCGAATAACGACAGAATTTCCATGCCCAGAGCAAAGTCCCATCTAACTGTATACATTTAACTTTGGATATAACGACTATCTGAATAACGACAATTCGCGTATAGCGACATGCTTTTAGTGCCCCGTGGTCATATTCACTGCTTGAATAACGACTTTCTGGGCTTTTGACAGCTATTTCAAGTACCTGTCAGTCAAGTACATGTACCTGTCATGCAGAAGTACCAGAACCTACATGTATGGTGCACTGGTGATGGATATTATTGCACACATGCAAGAAAATGCAGCAAAGGGGGGGGGGGGGGGCTTTTTCTTCCTTTTTTTATGTTGGCTTCAAAATTGTTGGATTTACCAGCACACCTATATGTATACAATGTACATGTAGTTGTACATGATTGTACAGTAATCATCATACATGTACATGTCTCTGTCCCTGGCTCAAAAAGGCATATTTTTCAATTGATTTCCCTTGCATATTGAATTTTTAGTTCCTTTCAACTGCAATATGAAAATAAAGTACACATTGACATAGAGCAAGAAAAGAGCTTGATTTTGATATGCATATCATACTATACAAAATATGGGTTCCCATACATTCAAATGGGACTTCGGTTATAAGGACACTTCGCGAATAAGGACACTTTTCTGATGCCCCGCCGAATGTCGTTATTGGCGAAGTTGACTGTACAGGAAAAAAGAAACAGAACGAGAACAAGGAATTTAATACAGCAGAGAGGTGTTGGAACAGCGCAAAGAAGAGTAGCCAGAAACAAGAACAGTAAAATGCGTAACCACGTGTACATGTAGAAGGAATGACAAAAAAAAAAGGTGCAAGTGTGGAGAAGTCTAACAAGTGTGCAGTGTAGTTCAACGATAGACAAATCAAGGATATACCTAACGAGTTGTCAATCACCTGCCTAACAGCCTGAATGTCGTGCTGTGTATTCAGATGATTTCTTTTTCCATTTTTGTCGTGCGCACACGCGCGCGTATGCATAGTGCTACGCTGTCGGATGTTTTAGCAGCTGTTTATATTCACACAAAGAAGCCTAACCTATTCGTGACTTAGGCCTATTGTTAATGTTTATCTATTTTTGTTGCAGTACCTTGCACGCTTGTTACGTTTCGTCACACTTGCGCCTTCTTGTCATTCCTTTTATGTGCATGGGATTGCACATTTTACCCCTCTTGTTTCTGGCCACTAGTACTCTTCTTCACGCTGTTTTATCACTTCTCTGCTGTATTAGATTCATTGTTCTCTTCCATATTTCTTTTTTTGCCTTTATTCCACCTGACGAGAAGGAAAGTACTTTTGGAAATAGTGTCAAGAATGTTGCTTGTGAAGAGCCTGAAGTTTGTTCTTGTCCTAAGTGTGATTGCATTGTTGTCTCCAAGAAACTATGAACCTTTCTTGCAAGTTATATCTCGTCGTAGACTCGATCAAACATTTTACGACACTGAAGTACTTTGTGTTGTGGACATCTCACCGGCAACTGCCGCGGCGACATTCAAATCAATCCTGGAGTTTCAGTAAAAAATAGGACAGTGCTTTCCTGCATATAATAGCCAGGTCCCCCCACATGTGGTCCACTTGCCCGCATAGTGAAATCGTGGAACGTCATGGAACCAGTTGAAGCAATCCCATATAGAACTGTCTGATCTTCTTCTTTTTGTTCTCTTCTGTGTTGTTGGTGCATCCAGCCGGCGTGACCTAGGCATTCAGGTAACCTGCGCTAATGTTTTCATATTAACTTGCCTGAAATGCTTGAACGATGTTTTCTCCGAATACAAGCAGGTCTTTTTTGAATTTTTAGTGACGTTTACAGTTTTACAGCAATTGTATGTTATTGCATGTTGCGCATTGTGTACTGATGCAATGGTTTGGTCTTGTCTCTGGAACCTATCCATCTCGAACCATGTAAGTTGTCATGACAGGGAATTTGGCAATAATTTGCTTGTTTACATGTTTCTACTCTGTGGTGTGTGTGTGTGTGTGTGTGTGTGTGTGTTTGTGTGTGTTGTTCTTCAGACTGGTGAAAAGGGGCGCAGTGAAAAGGCAGCTGTTGACGGTGTATTCTTCAAGTGAGCAACTCGTTTCCGTGTAGAAACTCCCATGCTATACTAGTGTCTGTCAATTTCATGTATTATTGTGGTGCATGCTATTGAACTAAGATGTGAGCAGCGGCGATAACATTTTGAAATGCCCATTGCCTTATCGGCTCCAGTATTGACAACGTCTTCGTGAGAGTTGCCAATAGCTAGTATCAAAGTCCATACCTCTATGTCTCGTCTCTCTGTCTCTCTGTCGGTCTGTCCATTTCTCTCTCTGTCTGTTTCTCTCTCTCTCTCTCTCTCTCTCTCTCTCTCCTCTCGTCTCTCTCTCTCTCTCTCTCTCTCTCTCTCTCTCCTCTCGTCTCTCTCTATCTCTCTCTCTCTATCTCTCTCTCTCTCTCTCTCTCTCTCTCTCTCTCTCTCTCTCTCTCTCTCTCTCTCTCTCTCTCTCTCTCTCTCTATGATAAAGTACTGGTGGTGGCATGTGTATGAAAACAGAAAAGAAAAGAATTTCAATGACGTAACTGTCTGGACCACCCACCATGGTTTGCTCTGATAGTAATTTCATCGGGTTTTGAAACTTGAATAGATGACAGGATGTGATTGTGCAGCAAGATGAATCGGTAGAAACAATGGACGGGAGTGCTTTGCATTCTAGATATCGAGCTTGATGCCTCCTCTCTCGGAGTCATCTCAGTGTGATTGTTCATTTTTATGCCTGTATGTACAACTACAGTGCTGGCAACTGAAATCCGACCCCCTGGGCGGTGCGCTCGCATCGCAAAGAATGTGTACCCACCGCTCGGGGGTCGGATTTCAGTTGCCAGCACTGTAGTATGTTGTGTATCACATACAGTCATGTACATTGTCTGGGCACTACGTGTACTTATCACCATATTCTCGGGCTCGCCTGTTACCACTTTCTTTGATCATGTTTTTTTTTCTTGCTGCATCCTTTATGTGCTTGTCTGCAGGCGGATTCTTCGCATTTTAAAGATTCTCGTTCCAAGATGGTTTTGTGCTGAGGTATGAGCGTGTGAGAAAGTGCATGTCATCTGTAGTTGTATGTTTATGCATGTAGTCCAATGTCAGCACATCCTACCATACAAGTGAGCGTCTTGCACCACCACACTCTATATTGTATCTACAGTTCTACTCAATGAAATCTAATTGTGCAAGTCAATGTGACGCCAGGTGCTTTGCAGCCTCAGACCTGTGAACATTTGGCTGTGCAGTGGCGCAGGGCGCAAACTTGACTCATGTGATCGGGGGTAGCTGCACTGTACATCGAACAGTTACCGTAGGTGTATAATCTGTTGATTGTCCCTGGCTGTTCTCTGCAGGCCGGATATCTTGGCCTTGTGGCTGCTGCGTTGATTGCACGGACATACTGTGATGTATGGATGATCTCCAACGGTACGGCAATTGAAGCGTAAGTCGATTCTCTCATTGCTACTTTGCCATGATTGCCCGCTGCACTAAAAATGCTCTTTGTGTCCCTGGCACTGCCTGCACCTCCTAAACATAGCTGTGTACCACTCACCATCGGGATGCTGGTGGGCAAGCACGGAACCGATGCCCGCGCCCGAGGCGTCGACTTCAATGCGAGTAGGCAGATCCGGAGCAAAGAGCCGTAGCAGAGGCGCTCTGCTAAAATGCTCACGGATCCCGTCGGCTGCTTGTGTGTAGGCTGGTGTCCATTGCCATGGACCACGTAGGAGGTTTGTCAGCGGCTGGGTCGTCTGGGCTAGCTTGGGGACGAACTTGCCTAGATAAGTGACCAGTCCAAGAAATGATCTCAGCTCGCTGACGTTGGTTGGGTTCGGCATGTTCTGCAGAGCCACGATCTTGTCGGGACCGGGTGACACACCGGCAGCAGAGATTACATGGCCTAGGAACGGCACCGAGGTGACGCTGTAGGCTGACTTCCTGTCATTGATGGTCACGTGATGGCGCTGAAGAGCTTCTCGGACCGCTTCCAGCCGTTTGTCGTGCTCTTGTTGGGTGGCGCCAACAATCAGAAGGTCATCCAGGTAGATAACCACTCCTTCGCAACCAGCCAGTACTCGTTCCATCTGTCGCTGGAAGATTTCCGGCCCACTAGAGACCCCGAACGGCAAGCGGGTGAACCGGAAAAACCCCAGCGGAGTAGCGATGACAAAGAACTTCCTGGAGTCTGGGTTAATTTCCAGTTGCGAATATCCTGTCTTGAGGTCAATCTTGCTGAAGACCGTGGCGCCGGCGACCTGACTCAGCCTGCAGAGTCAGGAGTCCGTCCGCCGTGGGCAGTTGAATGCCGGGTCTGTCGATCGACTTGTTGACCTGCCGCAGATCAATGCACCACCGGATGGTCTTGTCTGGCTTCGGCACTGCCACCAGGGGCGACACGAAGTCTTCGTCCTGGACTTGTTCCACCGGCTCGACGACTCCTTGAGCTTGCCGGGCCTTGAGCTGCGCGCTGAGAGAGGGGAGCAGACCCGGTGACAGTAGGCGAGCCATCTGCTGCACCGGCTGGGCACCCTTCTTCATGTGTACGGTCACCGTACCAGCCATCGGTGGTAATGGCTCTGGCTCGACAGCAGGGAGTGATGTGCTGACAGAACCGATCTCCAGCGTCCCAAACAGTCCCAGGGCTATGCTGGCTCGCTCGCCTATCAGGGCCGGCACAGCCTGACAGCCATCATCCACGACGTACACCGTCTCGGTGACCTGGGCGTTTTGACACGTCAACGGGGCCTGGTAAGTGCCGAGGGGATGGAGACTGCTGGGTCCCACGGGCTGCAACTTGGTGGTGGTTGCCGACAGCGTCGTCCCCGCTTGCACGAGGGATTTGGGCAGGATGGTCACCATGCTTCCGCTGTCAGCTCGCATATGCACAGTGTGGTCGTTGCCGATCTGCACTTCGTGTAGCGGCAGCACAAATCCCGTCTTGCCGGTGCGCACCATGTAGGTTTCCGCTACCTGGCTGGGCTCCAACCAGGCGCAAGTGGCAGCCGGTGATCTGTCCTGTTGAGGAGGGTCTCCTTGATTAGCCTGGGTGGCTGCGCTCAGTCGTTTCCGGCAGACCTTTGCAAAGTGTCCCGTCTTCCGGCAGTGGCTACAAGTGGCGGATGCTGCAGGACAGTGGCGCTTGCCCGGTGGATGTTGCTGGCCACAGTATCCACATGGGCACGCTGCTGCTCCGCTGGAGCTACTGGTACCCGTACCGCTACTGCCACTGGGAGCCTGACGAGTGTTTGGCCCAGCACCTGACTGGCCACTTGAGACACCCTGGGCACGCGCCCTGTAAGTTGAACTCGCGTATCCAACTGTCACAGACGAGTGACCACCCAGTCCCTGCATGGCACTTTGTTCCTGCACAGTTTGAGCCGCCATGGCTATCGACTGTGCACAGTCAGCTGCCGTCGCCATAGTGGAACCACCTTGCTCGAACACTCTCTGCCGCGTGTTCAAACAGGCCAGTCCGCGGGCGAACAGGTGTACAGACACGGTCTCGATTACCTCCTCCAGCTTGGACGACGTCGTCAAATTGCAGACTCTCATCTCCTTCTGTACCCGGTGCCGGTACGCCTGAATGGACTCTCCGTGCTGCTGTGAGATAGAGAATAAGGCTGCAAGGCGGGAGGCATGGCTGCGTTTGCCACCGAAGTACTCGTCAAACAGGGCACACAGATCGCCATACGGATCGTCGCCTGTTGGAATGGTGGCATCTCGCTGCCAAAGGTAGTGCGAGGCACTTTCACCAAGGTTCGATGCGGCCACCAGATATTTGTCCTTGCTTTGCTCGACGTTGTGGAGCAGAAAACCGATTTTTATCTGGCTGTGCCATGTGGAAAAATGGTCCGGCCCGAGCTCGTGGTCCAAGTCAAGTTTTGTCGTAACTTTGACTTTGTTGGCCATCCTGTTCACTGCGCCACATTGTTATGGTTCGTCTATACTCGGCGGACGCCGTTCACACACTCAAACTCAAGCCAGTCCAGTCACCTTGAAAACCCAAGCCTTCCTTTCCACAACTCTCCGAGAACTCCCCGAGAGCAACAACCAGTACCAGATTATATCCCCAAAAGCAGAAGTATGTGTACCGTAGAACAGAGTTGGCGCGCACAGAGTAGCAGGTCCTGTACGCGTAGAACCTAGCGGCGGAGTACACACATGTAGCTGCACGTGCACGCGCCAAATCTCTGCAGCAGACATGAATAGAGCTGGGTGGTAGAATGCCTACGGGGCCTACGGGGCCATGCATTCAGAACCTAGACCTGAACACAGAGAAGTGAGGATTCATTAGCAAAGAGGGCTATACAATCAGGACATCGATGAATGCATGCGGTTGAGGTTACAACAAGTAATGAGAAAAGGGAACACAGATATACATAGTGTTAGGAAATTAGAGGCCACATGCCACGTACTGCTCTTTTCTCCCCGAAACTCAACACTTGCAAGCCAGATATGAAAGAGCAGTACGTGGCATGTGGCCTCTAATTTCCTAACACTTTGAAATTCTCTGTGAAGTCCAAATTTGAAATTATACAGTCAACTTCGCTAATAACGACTGCGGATCTAACGACAATTCGCGAATAACGACAGAATTTCCATGCCCAGAGCAAAGTCCCATCCCACTGTAATACATATAATGAGACTTCGGGTATAATGACACTTCGCGAATAAGGACACCTTTTTGATGCCTCGCCGAGTGTCGTTATAAGCGAAGTTGACTGTAGGCTGTGTGCACCATTCCTGTGCATACACAGTATTTCGTGATAATGACAATACAATGTGTCATATGTTTCAAGGATATTTATTTTGCTGTTTATGTCATGCCTCTGGCATGATTCACATTTGTGTAGCCTAGCCGGAGCGCGGGCCACCAGCTGAACAGGATTGGCGGCCTCCATTCCAGACTTCTCAACAGTTGTGCTATTCCATGAGAGATGGACGGGAGTCTTTGAGCGTCCCTGGCACAACCCAAAGCATCCAGTGCTCCCACCCATGCATGCAATGATATGATCTGAACCTGCCGGTGCCTGGTGTGGAGCAGGTTCCCCGGCCGGTTCCCGTAACGATCGTTGTTCTGGCTGGCTATATACAAGGGAACGTCCACTAAGACCAAGCTTATATCCCGGTCACAGCACCAAATGTCACAACCAGATTGTCAAATGCTCCACCCTCCCAGCATCATGTATGTTTTACTCTCTGTCTGTCTTAGGTCTATCATTGGTCGTAACCTGGATTTGTTCAAGAAAAACATCTTCCACTTCATAACAGCCATGCCGATGGTGAGTTGGACACTGACATCCTGCCCCACACTGTATTATGTATGTGTTCATTCGTACACACAGTAGGGAGAGAAGGCTTGTTGCATCACTGAGATTCAGGATCATCAGAACAATATTTCTCTGTTTTTCTGTCTGTCTCTGTGTTTCTGTCTGTCTGTCTCTGTCTCTGTTTCTCTCTCTCTGTCTCTCTGCCGCCCTCTCTCTCTCTGTCTCTCTCTGTCTCTCTCTCTGTCTCTCTCTCTGTCTCTCTCTGTCTCTCTCTCTGTCTCTCTCTCTGTCTCTCTCTCTGTCTCTCTCTGTCTCTCTCTCTCTGTCTCTGTCTCTCTCTCTCTCTCTCTCTCTCTCTCTTTCTCTCTTTCTCCGTCTCTCTCTCTCTGTGTGTGTGTCTCTCTCTCTCTCTCTCTCTCTCTCTCTCTCTCTCTCTCTCTCTCTCTCTCTCTCTCTCTCTCTCTCTCTCTCTCTCTCTCTCTCTCTCTCGCTGTCTCTCTCTCTCTCTGTCTCTCTCTCTCTCTGTCTCTCTCTCTCTCTCTCCCTGCTGTGTGTCAGGGTATAAGCGCCTTCAGGCAGTACAGCACTTTGCTTGCTTGTGTGAACATACACTGCACATTACGATGCACATGTACATGTAGCTCTGTAATATTTCGTACTTTCGTTACTGCCTTTCATGGAAGTGGTTAAGAATGCACTTTGACATATGCTGGACATGTTTATTGAGAAATCAATCTCTACTTCGAAGTACATGTAGCTGCATTGCACCTATAACTATAGGTGCAGTATTTTTCATGGGTGATGGGAAAGTATGCTGGCCACTGATATTTGTGTAGATGGTACAGATGTGTGTGTGTGTGTGATATCTTACTCAGGTGTATCTGCAGCATCCACTGTGTTTGTTGCTGCTGAACAAAGATTGTTTTTGTTTTTAACTTTTTGTTGTACCTTGCTTCTTTGTTTTCTCCAGATTGCCATCATTAACACCTCACTGAAGGTAAGTTATAAATAACTTATAATGTAGTCGGGTGTGTGTATGTAACAGAACAGTCCACACTATTGTTGTCATACATTGCACTGCGTTTTCTTAGACGACTCATTTGAATACCATTTTAAATGTACGCGGTTCTGAACTGAATATGCAAAAGAGATGAGGTACAACATACCTGGAATGCGATGGTCCCAAAATGGACAAAGGACAACGGGGTGAAATATGATCAGAATGTGCTAGGCCAGAAAGTCATACACAGGAATGCAAGGAGACGGAAAGAGTTGCATACTAACGCTACATAAGTGCATTGGTGGAATGTTGAGTATGGATAAGTGCACCCGTAGAGTGTATGATACACAAACAGCTTCTTACCGGCAGGTTTGGTGGGCACACGGGTCGTAAGGCAACTAAACAACCAGTCCATTACAATGCTGTATGCCATTATAGCCTTATTAGTATTGTCTCATCACCTACTTGCCAAACTTCTCAAGCATCAATATTATGTTCTCCCATTGTCTGTCTTTGTGCCATGGAAAATTGATGGTCTGTTGGTTGTATTGCATGTCCTATTCTGTCTTGCTATGTCCAGTTTGGTCTGAATGAGCTAAAACTACGATTTCGCTCGCGCTTAACCCGACACCTCTACCAGCAGTATCTTCAGTAAGATTGAGTTGTTGCCAACCACCGTATTGTTATAAATCCGAGCTTGAAATTCACGGCGTGTGGGTATCGTGTGACTTCTGTGCAGCCTTTATGCAAGAAACTCAGAGGGCAGGCGAAGAGCTGCATGATTGTCTAGGTGCAAGTCATCATCTTTGTTGACCAAATTTTTCTCAAGCTCTACTCGGCAAGGTCAAGAAATTGGTTTCTTTTGGCTGTTTTTCTTATTTTGCAGGGGATTCACCTACTACAAGATGTCAAATTTGGATAACCGCATTGCTAATGCTGATCAGCTTCTTACACAGGTATGCTGATGTTCACTCTTCCTCCGGTGTTTCTTTGTTATGTGACCAGTGTCCTGTGTCGTGCGATTCATGGGTAGTGTGGTACTAATATGAATCTGAAGTTGAAATACATAATATTATCTCACTCACGTGCACACACACCACACATACAATGTACTCTCTCTCTCTCTCCTCTCTCTCTCTCTCTCTCTCTCTCTCTCTCTCTCTCTCTCTCTCTCTCTCTCTCTCTCTCTCTCTCTCTCTCTCTCTCCCTCTCTCTCTCCCTCCCGCTCTCCAGGATGTGGAAAAGTTCTGCAACAGTATTGCTGAGTTGTATTCTAATGTCATCAAGGTTAGTCTTGAGTATAGAAAATGTAAATGTGTGTCGTGTAGGCATGACATCATGTAGTAGGCTGTTGTCGTACAGTAGGGCACGCGTACAAGAAATGAGTGGTAAGAAAGGCCAAGTTCGTACAAGAGAGTAGTAAAATACCGGTATTTTTCTACTCCCATGTTCGTATGCAGAGTCTACTGTGCACTGAGTGCAGGCCTCTTGCCACTCCCTGGCTCCCGGGGACCCCGGTTCACGTGATTGTGATGTTTATTGAATAAGGTCTATGTTCTTATTGCTGCCTTTCCATTGACGGGTTCGCGATTTCGAAGACAGGGTGTGTATCAAAAGTGCATTGCAGTCACTGACTGGATGACTACAACTCATGGCTATTCTTTAGCTGGCTAACCGTGGATCTGATCCAGCTCTGCTCTATGCAGCATGGAATCCTCCTCTTCCATATGTTTGTCTGTATCGCGCAACATGCCACTTGTACTTGCATTCTGTGCTGTTTAGTAATGCTACCTGTATCCCCCCCTCCCTCTTCCTCTCTGCAGCCAATCCTGGATATCGCAATCTACTTTCAGAAACTTGCGGGCAGTATTGGGTTGCAGGTGAGTGGAGCATGTTTGTTTGCATTGCAATTAGCTACGAGCTCGTATGTGTTCATGTATTGGACTGAGTAGTAGTGTCAGAGTACCTTATGCGATATTTACATTTGGCAGGGTGATTAGAATTAAGTTCAGTTAAGACCAGGGCTAGAGTTGTGGTGGGTTATGTCCATTCTCTACTATGCCATATCAATGCAGTCACCACCAACACATTAGATCATTCAGTGTAACTCTGCATCTGCACATCGCCTGTGTGGCAGTCTGTTCTGTTCTTGGTGTAACTGCACCCTTTTTCTTAGTTCTTGTGATGGCTTTTTGTTGTGCTGAATGTTCATGAATGTGTGCTCTGACATTGCAGGGTCCCATGATCATGCTGGGCTATCTAGCCTTCTCCGGCATGATTTTGACCAGGTAAGCACGATTGAGTTCAGTCGTATTTTCTCTGTGCATCTCTGTATGTCAGGAGGAGGGTGGGGAGGGGCGTCTTGTGTGCTTGACTGCGTAGAATCTTATTCCTCAGTGTTGTGTATAATGTGTGTCCATGCATATACTGCATCTTATGTGTGAAATAACCGTGCGTATCTGGTACTTCAGAAGTATTTAGAACAGTTTGCTTTTGTACAAACATTCAGTTCCTTCATTCCGTTACTAGTGTGTCAGCATTTCATTATCTGCTATGAGTCACCGTTGACTTCTCGCTTCTGCCATGTCATAATGTGTCCCGGCATTGTAAATGAATGCCAAGTTATAGTAGATATACATGATTGTACTGTATTGATCATGTCATGTCACTGTGATGTGGTGTGTATTTAGACTTCGGCGACCTGTTGCCCGGATGACGGTGGGAGAACAGCGTTTAGAGGGAGAGTTCCGTTTCGTCAACTCCCGCTTGATCACAAACAGTGAGGAGATTGCTTTCTACCAGGGCAACCGCCGAGAAAGCATCACTGTGCACACCGTGTTTGATGGCCTGGTGAGTAACTGTGTTAGAAGCTGGGATGGGGCTCAGTGATGGCCTGGTGAGTAACTGTGTTAGAAGCTGGGATGGGGCTCAGTGATGGCCTGGTGAGTAACTGTGTTAGAAGCTGGGATGGGGCTCAGTGATGGCCTGGTGAGTAACTGTGTTAGAAGCTGGGATGGGGCTCAGTGATGGCCTGGTGAGAGTAACTGTGTTAGAAGCTGGGATGGGGCTCAGTGATGGCCTGGTGAGTAACTGTGTTAGAAGCTGGGATGGGGCTCAGTGATGGCCTGGTGAGTAACTGTGTTAGAAGCTGGGATGGGGCTCAGTGATGGCCTGGTGAGTAACTGTGTTAGAAGCTGGGATGGGGCTCAGTGATGGCCTGGTGAGTAACTGTGTTAGAAGCTGGGATGGGGCTCAGTGATGGCCTGGTGAGTAACTGTGTTAGAAGCTGGGATGGGGCTCAGTATGCTGGGGCTGGGGTTGGACTATGCTGAGGCTTGGCTGGGGTGGGGATGGGGCTGTACTGGGGCTATGCTAGGGCGGCTGTGCTGCTGTTGCTTCACTCATCCTACTGCAGTATACAATGTTGATTTGGGAGAACTCCTCCTGCTTTCTCACAATACTGCCAGTCGATCTGCTGCTCCACTTGCCTTGATCCACTTTCTTTGGCTACCAACTCTGTATGGCTGTAAAGAGCCTATGCTGCTCCACTCGTGTCAACTTTACTTGTTGTGCTGTTGGTGAGTTGTCACCAGGACTACAGGCAGTAATGATTCTGTCTAAAGGTACACTGTACTGTAGTATGTATTAGTGTGTAGTGGTAGTGTACTGAAGTAATTTCTCCGTTTATACTTCCCATTTCAGGTGGACCACCTTCGATCCTTCATCCAGTTCCGCTTCTCAATGGGATTCCTCGACTCGGTGATTGCAAAGTGTGAGTATTTGTAACTAGATGTATTTAGTACCAATGCACCATTAGTGAAATTCGTCCTTGATACTTCTGCTATTCAATGTGGAGGTTCGAATGAAATAGCTTTGCTGTCATTGATTTTCTTGAACTTTGTGCTAGTTCATGTATCCTCCATTTTCCTTTCTGGTGTGCTTCAATATTGTGATTCTGTTCTCTTTGTGGTATGCCGTCGTGTCCTTGCTGTGGTTACTGTACCGTATTTCACTGACTACGAGTCGCATCCTTTTTACACTTAACGTCAAGGTCAAAGAAGGGTGTGCGACTTACAATCGAGTGTGTCATCTTACGTTGCTTACCTATGAAACTATATTGAAACAATATGGCTCAAACATGAAAATGGGGGTGCGACGTATAATCCAGTGTGACTTATAATTGGGGAAATAGTACAGTATGTAGTTTTGGGCTGTATACCACCGCTTTAGTCTCCCTTTCATTCTGTGTGTCTGTCTGTGTGGGTGTGCGTGTGGGTGTGCGCATGTGTGTGTGTTTGTGTGCATGTGTGTGTGTGTTTGTGTGGGTGTGTTTGTGTGTTTGTGTGTTTGTGTGCGTGTGTTTGTGCATGTGTTTGTGTGTGGTTGTGTGTGTGTGTGTGTGTGTGTATGCGTGTGTGTATGCGTGTGTGTGTGTGTCCGTCTGTCTGTCTGTGTGTGCTGCTAACTTCTTGTATAGATGTTGCAACTGTTGTGGGCTACTCGGTTGTCAGTCGGCCATTTTTGGATCTGAAAGATCCGAGACACATGCACAGCTCACACTCTGAGATTATGAAGGTGCGGATGGTCATGGAGATGTGTGTGTGTGTTTGTTTGTTTGTGTGTGTGTTTGTTTGTTTGTGTGTGTGGGGGGGGGGGGGGGTGCATGTGTGTTTGTGTGTTGGGATAAAGATGTGCTCTATCCTGAGGCAGTTCTTGACTTGCTGCTTCTGGCTTTTAGTTCACTGTTGAATAAAGTCTGTTTTCTTTTGCGTTGAACTCCTGTGGTGTTGGCACCCCTGTTCATCTCCGTGGTGGCGAAATCTCCATCCGGGGGGGGGGGGCTACCCGATTGTAGTGTGACTGTGCCTCCTGTTAGTTTCTATCCTTTCCTGATGTGTGTGCTGGACTGGTTTATATCGGATGACTTACTGTAGTACTCTTTCGCACTCATTCACTATGACTCACCCTCACACTCACTATCATTCACTATGACTCACCCTCACACTCGCTATCATTCACTATGACTCACCCTCACACTCGCTATCATTCACTGTGACTCACCCTCACACTCGCTATCATTCACTATGACTCATGATCCTTAGGACTACTACAAGAGTGGACGTATGCTTGTCAAGATGGCAGAAGCTATTGGTCGCCTGGTCTTGGCCGGGCGCGAGATGACTCGATTGTCTGGGTAAGGTTTACAATATGCACTTTTGTTTGTATACTGCTCCAGTTCTTGATTTTTCTTTGTGATGGATATGCGAGCTACTACTAGCTAGTGCCGGTAGATCTTTTCTAAATCCTAGCCTTTGACGTGCAACACACTTGGTGCATTTAGAGCATGCGATGCCCCTCCCTCATTGTTCCTAGAACGACAACCTGCATTATGTGCTAATGTGTACTCGTGGGGGGTTCTTGTGCAGATTCACAGCACGTGTCACACAGTTGATGGACGTGTTGGATGATCTGAACCGTGGTGTCTATCAGCGTACTATGGTCACCACCAGCTCATCTTCATCAGAAGGTACATGTACATGTGCATGCATACATATGTACAGTCTTGTTTACATGTGCATGACTGTACTATAGTTAAACACGTGATCTAGATCTTTCTGAAGGCATGCTGTAGATACATGTATGTACAAACACACAATCTAGATGTAGATGGATGCATGCTGTAGATACACAAGGACAGACCCGTGGACTGGTTACAGCTCGCTCAGACGTCATCCACGTCAGATCGTACTTGCTGGCATGGTCTTGAACAGAGTTACATTGTATGCCACGCTTCCCATGGTGATGGAAGCGCTTTGCACGTTTTGCTCATTTAACTACCCTGCCTTATATCTTACTGTGAGTTTCATGTGATTTTTCTATGCTCAGAGCCGGCCCCAGCGCTTGTACCAGGCAGCGGTGAAATTATCGAGCAGGACCACATCATCCGGTCAGTTCTTTTATTCGTTATTTTGTTTAATCAACATCTGTCTCATAATGCGACTGCCAATAATTCTTGTATGAGATGCCAGGTGGTGGCCAATCATGGGTAGTTTAAGGGTGCGTTCTTAAATCCTCTTGGAAAAGTTGACTCCGAAAAGTTCGAGAGCTGTTCTTATATCCTCTCCGACTTTTAGGAGGCTCTCCAAAGCTCTCCAAGCTCTCCAAGCTTCAGAGGTTGTTGAAACTTGGAGATTCCCGCGGTTTGGGATCAGCGCATGCGAACTACGACCACGTGTTCATCATGAGTGTACGCATTTCCCTTTTCGCATACGCACACGTGCATACAACATGTCATCACTCAAGATCTCTTTGACGCTTCATTTTGCTTGACATGTGCGAAATATCTCCGATTTCTTCGAGCCCCGTTCTTGAGTAATCCCAGTTTCTTCGACTTCTCTTTTCTTCTTCTTCTAGAAGCTAGAGAATATAAGAACGCACCCTAAGAGTATGAAGGTGTAAAGAGAAAAGAAAGGGAAAACCCCCCAAAAAAAGAGAAAACACGGGAGGACAAGACCGGTGTGGGTGTACTGAGTCACATGTGGAGGGGAAGCTCAATCTTGAGTCGCTCCACATTGATACATGCATGTGTATCCCCAGTGGTCTTCTAACTTGATGGATGCTTTGTGTCGCCCATTGCCCGCCTTTCTGCATAGCTTGTAAGCTCATTGCTCATTGCTCACTGCTCAGTGCCAAACATGTGTGACATATCCTGTGTTGAATGTTGTGCTTACTACGTGTGTGCATTATCCTGTGTGCAAATTCCTGGACGGTCTATGTAGGTTTGAGGACGTCCCACTGGCAACACCTAATGGTGATGTACTCGTGAAAGATCTTTCATTCGAGGTATGTTCTGAGCTCTGACTGACTAAGCGCTTTTTTGAAGTAAAGTGTCCATTAGATTACAAGTGATTAATTGGCCGTCTTTTGACTTGCCAGGAGATGTCTAAATAAAGTAGTTTGAGGGAGCGTACAAATTCGAACTGTGAGCATTTATGGTCGTAATCATACGAAAGGCAGAACACGATAAAAATTGTAACTTAGAGATTCCTGCTAAAAGTGATGTTTGACGAGTTTGCCAAGTGCATAGCTACAGTCTTTATCAAGTGGAATCCTGGCATATCAAGTAAGTTTCCGCTGCGCCAAAGGCGTCCGGTAATGGAAGGTGTTACTGTAGTCTCGCTCAGGATCAACCTGCCGAATACAGTGACACTCTAAGATGTACCCTCATGGAGACTCAGGATCAACCTGCCAAATACAGTGAAACTCTAAGATGTACCCTAATGGGGAACAGGAAAGTGTTTTTTTTCTATCCGAGGTACATGTACTACTTATCCCAGCATACGTTATACTTCAGTATGCAGGGGGGGGGGGGTGCTTTGGGTGCCAAACGGCCCAAAGCACCCCCTTAAAAATTTGATCGTGGTTCGCAGCTGGTTCGAGAGAGAGACCGTAATACGCGGACCACTGATCACATGTGCAACTCTGCACATCACGCACAGTAGCAAACCTTGTTGTTCAGACCAGGAAGTACTAGGTATTGTACTACTGCAGTTGACTATTTTCTCTGATGATTGGCTATTTTGCAATGAAACTTGTAGTCAAGGGCAACTCTGCTTCGTGCCTACCATTGTGCAGCATTACGTCAGACCTCAGCAGACTCAGCACATGATTTGTATCGCACTCCACATGTTTTGTTAGAAGCAAAGAGTCATACAAACACCCATGGGTAGAAGTAGTAACACAGTCCATGGAAAACGTACATCAGACATAGCAGTTTCAAAGGTTCGCGCTATGTTTTGTATAATATACATGTACATGTAGCTCTGAAGGTTCAGTGTTCGTATTGGAGTTTGTGGAAAAGCAAAGAAGATTCTTTCATGTCTTTCAAGTGTCGGTACAGCAGCAGAACAGTGAAAGTAACGTTGAAGTGGAGTTTACGGTTTTTGTGGGAAATATGGGGTATGTTTGATCAAGGATACCTTACTGCACTGTCAAACACGATGAAGAGAAAAAGGGGTGAGAAATCTGACTTTGAAAGTTCGATGGAGAGTGTGATAATTCTGGAGAAAGCAGCACCCAGGGCTAAGCTCATCATTAGTTGGAAGCAGGGAGTAGAAAATATTACTACAGTCGTCCCTCTCTAATCCGGCACTTGTTTATCCGGAACCCTTGCCAACCGGCGCACTTTCTGACGAAACCGATTTTTTTCGTTCAATTCCTACATCTTAATCCGGCACTTGAATTCCGCCTCCGGCAGTGACTTTTTGAAACGAATCGCTCAATCTGCACGTAGTTTGATTTCATAATCCGGCAGTCGTAAATCGCGTGCCGTACAGGTGCACTCCTTGCCAGGCCAGGCTTGGCCAGTCTGGTCAATCGGCAGTCAACCATACTTTCTTATTTTAGCAAGGAGTAGTGTCCTGCCAATTTTCAGGTGTGTGTGTGTGTGCGTGTGTGTGCAAGAGTACATGTGAGCATGTTCTCTGTTTTACTTTATCACTTTATCACTGTGTATATTCCCGGAGAACAATTGAGAATATAAAGCCGTGCACCAAATACTTGGGTCGACACGGAAAAACCCTGCGTTTTGATGTATGATACATGCATGCAATTGGATAGGGCCGGGTCAGAGGGCAGGATTTCTTAATCCAGCACCCTCGTTAATCCAGCAGAAAACGCCGTAGCAAAAGGTGCCGGATTAGAGAGGGACGACTGTACTACCTGGTTGGAGGTTTGCCATTCAGCCGTATCGCGGATCAAAAACTTGGGTGCATGTACTTTTGTGTGGGGAAAGTCGTGGCACGCCCAACCCCCCCCCCCCCCTTGGTCACTATCCTGGCTACGCCCCTAGTATGGACCAATAACTTGTTACCCCCCCCCCCCTTTCCTCCTTTTCCTCCCTGCACTAAGCAAATGTGTCTTCTTTTTTGTCTCTTCCAGGTTCAGTCTGGTATGAATCTGTTGATCTGCGGTCCCAATGGCTGTGGCAAGAGTTCCCTGTTCAGAGTGGTCGGCGAGGTGAGATGATCTGAAGTCAAGTGTCAAGTGTGCCACGTCTCTGTTGCACATGTAGGGTTGTGCTCTTTGTTTGTTTTGTTTGTTTGTTTGTTTTCGTTAGTATCCAGTCCTCAGCATGTTCACCGCCATTGTGCTCATATTGTCTACGTTGTGCTCTGTCTTGCAGCTATGGCCTCTGTTTGGTGGTCGGGTCACCAAGCCCAACAAGAGAAAACTGTTCTACATTCCTCAGGTACTGTCACTACTGTGCCCACGCTGCCCAGTATTCCGTGCGTACCTGTGTGGTGTCAATGTACATGTACATAGACTGTATGTCATAGAGGCACAAACATCACAGAAGTCAGAACGGTTGGTTGGAATTCAGAGTTGCGCCCTAAGCGACAGGCAACATAAGCAGTGGAAGTCGCCTCCTGTGAGTATAATAACCAACTTAAATGTTGTGCTTGTGGCTGTATACCCTATTGCAGAGACCATACATGACGATTGGTACTCTGCGCGATCAGATCATCTACCCGGATAGCAAAGATGATATGGTGCGCAAGGGTATCACTGACCAGCAGCTAGTTGCTTTCTTGGAGCAGGTGAGAGGCTGAGAGATTGCTACTGCTGATGACACTTGTATTGCACATGTACAGTGCTGCTCAATGAAATCGGATCGCTCCAGTCAAGTCCACACCGGGCGCGCTGTGCAGCCCCTGACCTGCAAACACTGGGAGTCTCACTCGCAAAGCTTACTCCCTTGGTCTTATTTCATTGAGCAGCACTGTAGAGGGGACGGCTCGATACCGGGACGCTTTGACAGCCAAATTTGTATAGACCCAAACCGAGCATCAGCGTTGATTTTTCACTCGAAATATGTTTGTGGAAGGAAACTGGCATGTTGAAGTTTGCTCTGGGGCCAGAGTCAATTGAACTGAGCCACTCCTTTGTGTTGACCCATTGCCTCCAAGTTGCCCAATTTTTCGCTTCAAAAAAGTTCAAATCAGAGGTGGCTCCAAACCGGACACGTTTTAGAGTGCACGTCAAATTCACTCTGGCTCTGAAATTAGGTAATTGCTATCGCTCCACGACGGCCAGTACAGAGTAACAATAAGCCTTGTGTGTGCTTCCATTAGTTTTGATTGGTATGCGGTGCTTTATTGGCAAGAGGCGAGCCGCTGTTTACCTGCGACAAGAAGTTGATTTTTCGAAAGTCGTAAAACTCAAGTCGCAGTGCGAAGCAACACGTCAAACTCACCTGCTTGATATGGCGCTTCTGGTCATCGCAGAGCCATGAAATTTTGGCTCGGAGTATAACACATCGTAGTCTCACTGTGACATATGTTTTCTAATCAAAATACCAAGAGAGAAAGTGAATATTGAGTCCGTTCCGGTTTGCAACCTGTGTCCTATTTGAACCGTCCCCTCTACCTTATTCTACTTCAAACGTCTAGTCTACAGCCATGTGTCAGTTGCTAGTATCCTAACACATCATAATAACCTCAGTTGACTGAAGAAACTGAAGAAAGAAAGAACGAAAGAAAGGACCCATGGAGTTCCACTTTGTGTACTTGGGAATGTGTACCGTGCATGGACTGGACATGTCCATGTGCATGGAGTTGACCAGCAGAAAAATGTGTACTAGTACATGTGTGGTACAAGTAAGCTGTTGAAGCAAAATTGCATTGTAGATGGGTATGTCTGGAGTTTTGATGGCGCATTGGTATGGATGTCTAAGCCTAAGGGTTAAAAGTCAACATTTAAAACTATGTTGTGGGCTGTTAATTTTATCTTATGTGCCATCAAATATCATCTTGATTGCACCGTATATGCAAGTACCTCTGCCGGCCTTTTTTCTTTACTCATCTAATCATTTCAGGTACAACTGACAAACCTACTGGAACGTGATGGACAGTGGGATGCTGTTCAGGTGAGTGCACTTGTAGACTACCTTGATCGGTGTGTGCAGAACGTTTAGGGGTGTGCGTCCCTTGAACAATGTGAAATGAGTCTGGAAACAAAACAATGAAAAACGTCTGGGGATACATTAGTGTTTTGTGTCGACACATACTTAGTAGAGCTATTGCTATAATCTGAATGTGCATGTGCATGTGGGTGTGGTTCTTCATATGAATATCTTGGTCGGTCTTGCCTCCCTGCTCAGGATTGGATGGATGTGCTAAGTGGCGGAGAGAAGCAACGTGTTGCCATGGCTCGTCTCTTCTACCATCGTCCGCAGTTTGCTATTCTGGACGAGTGCACCAGTGCAGTTAGTGTGGATGTGGAAGGCTTCATGTACAGTCATTGCCGAGAGGTAGGTTTTGCTCAACTCATCTAATAGATATACATTTGAATAAGGGGCAAAGAAAGTTGTCTCTCGAGTTTCATGCACAAAACGATGTTTTCATACCAATGTCCAGCTAGTAACTCCACAGCTGGCCTCTGGCAATCTTCTTCTTCTATGGAGTTCAAAAAGCAGATGCATCAAGCTTCCTTGTTTGCTCTTTGCATCGATGACATGCGTTTTGTGCACATTGATTTTTGGTCCAGAGAGAATACTCTTGTCACTTTTTAAAGTTTTTGTACTTTTTCATTTCTGGCAAATCCGTACTTTTCATTTCTGGCAAGTCCATGCTGTACACAATAATTGTGTACAGCCATTGTGTATAGCCATACGATTGTCATCAGCCATACAATTGTGTACAGCCATATTATGGCATGGTGCTCGTTCCGGTGCTTCCATTGGTACGGTGTATGTGTGTAGATCTATACTCATGACATGAGATAACGGTGTTGTTCTGGAGATCTTGTTACTAGGCTAGTGACAGCTAGTCCTTGCGGAGTGCGCCAGCTATGCTAATGTTTTAGAGTGACTGTGGAGTTCACTGACTATTTGTTTGTATGATGCTTCTGTTGCTCCAAGGTTGGAATCACACTCTTTACTGTCTCCCATCGCAAGACCCTCTGGAAATATCATGAGGTAATAACAACGTCAATTTACTCTTGTCAATCGATTCATGCAACGACATGCATATTGGGGTACAGTCCATGTCTTGGCACTAACCCCTTCAATATGTTGATCCCGAGCAATTGCCTTTGATGTGCATCCCCTCTGGTGAAATGTAGTTCAACCAATTGGCTTTTGGAGATTGGTATCCACTTCAAGCAGAAGTGCCATCAAACTTAGATTGTGAATTGCCTGAGCATTGAAGCATGGATCAACAGTAATTCTACACCTGCTCCAGCTAGTGATTAGAGCTTTATTTACAAAATTAATGTTCTCAGCTTCAACCCTAGCACAGCTAATGGTTCACCGTTAGTATTACCATTGCGTGTCAGCTATCGGGACAGCATGCTGTTGGATAAATAGTTATTCTGGATAACTGAAGCTACATTGTAGGACACATCATACCCATCATAAGATAAGGACTGTGGAGCATGATCTTACCTGAATTTTGCATGCTCTGTTTCTAGTATTATCCTGTGACAGTCATCGTACTTATCTATATTGACTGGCATGTATGTAACGTTGCATTAAGGCAACGCTCATGATGCTCACTGTCCACATTTACTTGGGGAGTAGACCCGTAAATATACAGCGTATGAGCTGTCAGTGCGCTGTTGGATAACCAGCGTGGCGGATGACTGACCGCCGGATAAGCAACATGCAACTGTACTACCAATCAACATGTCATGGATCCCCTTCCTAAGTAAGTGCCCTAGTTTCGTTACTGACTATTGTGTTGCTCTTCCTTGACTTTTTCTTTGCACAGCATGTGTTGCAATTTGATGGCCGCGGAGCGTACGAATTCCGCCAAATTGACTCGTCATCTGAGGAATTTGGTTCTTGAATCCATGATGTGTAAATGCTTGCCTGAATGATTCGTGTACAGAGAATGTGTTCTCTCATCGCCACTGCCATCATGGTTGCAAGGTAGACGGCCTTCCTCCATTATCTATGTGTACTCTACTACTCTTCCTATCATGTAAATTATGAACAGGAGTGCAACCCGGGACATGTGTACTTGCAGAGGAATCAAGACATCCCTGAATGCCCTCACACATGTATACACACTGGACATGTTTCATTTATTCGACTGTTGCTTCCCACCACTATTTTATCCTTACAGTGAACTTATCCTCTTTTCCGTATGCGTCTCATACTTTTCTACTTGGTACTGGTAGTACAGTAATATTCATTTCAACTGGACATGGGGAGGTTTACCTTGTTACAGTCATGCCCCCCCCCCCCCCCTTCTCACCTGTTAGCATTAGGTACATGTACATGTAGGTCTAGGTCATATATTCAGAACAGTCACCAAAGCCAACCGTTCTGCCCTTGTGCCCAGTCACAGTGTACATCTAGATTATATAATTATTGATTAGATCGATTTCCAGTCTATTTTCATTTCTTTTTACTGTTTTTTTTTCACAGCTGGTCATTTGCAATGTTCTCAGATGGCCTAGGCTTGTGTGATGTTGCTTGCCCATCAAGTTCTCCATGCAATGATGCGGCTCACTAATGGAACAAGCACCCTGTCAATCCTTTGGCGATACAGATGGTCATCAAAATAACACTACTACCAGTGCATGTAACTCAACTAATGAGTACGAGTATGTTGCCATGTACTGATGACAGCACTGTTCTACTTCTAATAATAATGATAATACCACAGCACGCGTACAAAGGCCAAAGAACAATGCATGAGAATACACTGAAATTAAGCCAAGTCCGCTTCTGTCTCCAGTCAACAAAAACTCATCCATAAACAATGTCTGATCTCCATTTCGACTTGCCTGCAGCAAATGCTCGTGCTCCTTCTAGGTCGCTGGCATTCTTCAAAGGGATGTTGTGCCCTGCCAGGTCCTTCATGATGGTGGTAGGGAGAGTAGCCGCGGGACGGCCCCTTCGTCCACGTGACCCCGCTTGAAAATAGCCGGACATCGCAAGGCAAGGGGGTTCTACTTCTAGTCTACAGAAAGTAGGGCAGATGCTGTGTTATCACTAGGGTTGGCCTTTGGGCTCATCCAGGAAGTCGATTTGGAGCCAGTCAGTACTTGGCAAACACACTGACATGTTATGGGAATCTTACTGCAATCCCCACAAGGGACTCTTCAATCTCAAGTAGGCAGGGAGCCAGTCCAGTCCTTTTTCTTGCATCCTGACTGTCAATGTATGCTGCTCAGGCTAGAGACAACATCAGGATGCTGAGGTGCAGAATGCAGATGTTGGAGGGAAGACTGCATGTGGTGTGGACTATCAGTATTGCATAGCCGTCCCCAAAATATTGTTCTGCCAAGTGTCTGCACTTCACACTCATCCAGAAGCCATGCCATGTACAGTCTGTATTGGCTATCATGAGTGTACTCATTTTTGTTTTCAGCGATTTTATCACTATCCATTGAAGGCATCACTACAACTAATTACTGTACTTGCAAACAAGTCATGTACCGGCACGTGCATGCATACCATGGGTTCTAGCCAGGAAACATTACAGGTGTGGGGATCGGGAGAAAACAAACAGGTCACCCATTTTTCCGTGTTCTTGTCACCAGGTCCAGGGAGTCGTACAAACCCGGTTCATCACAGTAAGGGAACACTGTGCTATGCCTTTCAGGTGCGCATGCACACCCATGCACCTACATACCACCAAATATCACTGTAGCCGTTGTTATTATCATAGTGTGTACCGCATGTTTTGATTCTGATACTACCGTAAAGTACCGTTGATCCGCCCCCTCTCTAATTCCCGCCCCCTGTCGATTTTCTATCTGTGAAGCGACTTCGGCGTATACAACGAAAATACGATGTTGAACCGACGCATGCACTGCTGTACACAATACTTGCCAACCCAGGAAAATGTACACAATCCAGCACATCGAGTCTGAACTTCTACGTTGTTGTACATCGTACTGCACTTGAGAGCCTTGATCTAATTCCCGCCCCCTGCCAAAAAACCAGCTGGGAAGCGACACGGCGTGGGGGGGGGGGGGGGGGATCAACGGTACTTTACGGTAAATACGATCGTAATATCCACAACAATCGATCATTGGTAATAATGATATTTTGATGGCCGAAAATGCATTTTTGCTTTTGGCATTTTTCTGATATCACGAAGTTATCAAAATTAATACTGGTATTTGACGACTCCATGGCGTGGGCGATATTCATTACACCCGGTCAGTCTAATAGAGGTTTGCGATTACATCATCAGCTGAGATGCTTTGGCAAAGTTGTGGCACAGTGCACTAGGGATGCACTAGCGACTCACTCTGTATACATGTACATGTACTGTCGTGGACATGGAAATCTGGTCGATTGACCGGGGCCGGCGCCCTCGGTGAGTACAGAGCATAACCATGGTAACGTCGTTGCAGGCAGTGCACATGTTGATCCGATGCGACCAGCGCGCGCATGAATGTGTGAACGGTATGCCTACTCATGGCTGCATGGCCAGCGCCCTGGGGCCGCTAGATGTGCGACCGGACTTCCATGTCCACGACAGTATATAGCACCCGTCAGCGGTTCCACTGTATTTAGCGCCTATTACAGGTGGAATCCTGATAATTCGAATATGGCTTAATTCGAACATACCGCTTAATTAGAAGTTTTTCCAGGACCGATTTCTATCAATACGAGTCTCACATAAACAAATTCTGATAATTCAAACCTCGAACTGGATATGTCCGGTTAATTCGAAGTCCCACAGATTCCACTTACATAGAAAATGTGTGGGATTTGTGCTGATAATTCGAAGTTAGCAAAGTGTAACTCGAAGTTCACTGTACATTGTACTGGTCAGTTCAGTTTGCATGAGCAGGCTGTGCCGGTCAGTTCAGTATCCGCGAAATCTGTGTCTAAGGTCCATAGCGCAACTCTGCGTGACCATGAGAGCATTTTGACATACATATTGTGTTGTGGGTTCATGTTTGGATAATTAGAATGTCCGGATAATTAGAAGTTTTTTCCTGGCATTTCGAGGTTCGAATTATCAGGATTCCACCTGTACTTATAATAAGCGGTGCCTGAATTCCGCTGACTCATCATTATGACTTATTTCGCATAATCCATAACCTCCGATATACAGGCGGAGTTATCACGACTCCCTGGTTAGGGCGCGTTCAGACTACCGATAAAAAGTGACCGATTGGGAAAGGCGCCAAGGTGATTTGATCACGTGACGTTACTGGCACGTTACCGGTGGGAAAGTTTTACTGCCGCGGCGGCTGCGGCAGTAAACTTTTACCGGCAGTAAAAAAGTGCTCAGGCTGCATGCGCGCTGGGAAAAAAGGGAAAATCCCTTGTCAGTGCCGCGGTGAGAGCTGAAAACTTCACGGTAAACGTTAGTTTGTTATCGGTAGTGTGAATGTCCTTCACGGTTTATCGGCATTCACGGTTTGACGGGGTTCACGGTAGTCTGAACGCGCCCTTATAACAAGTTTCCACTTGCAGTCGTCAAACAGAACGCTGGCAACATTCCAAAATGCACTATCGGCAAAATTATTTTATGGACTGCCTGAAATTGAAAAGCAGTGAATAACTAACTTCCTAAACTTTATGATGGCTGTTTCCAGCAATGACAGGACATGGAAATGCGTTCAAGCAAAGTAGGTAAACTTGCCTTTGCAATTTTTTTGACTCAAGCCGAGGTCTTCAGCCACAATGACTACGCCATTCCACAATGACTATGCCATTCGACAATGTGCACGTCGTTGTAGTCCTCACTGCCAGCTAACTTGCAATGTACTTCTACAACAAAACAAAAATGTAGTCCAGGACTCAGCGACGACTACTACCGTCACTGTTACTGTGTTAGTTTCGTAGCTTGGGGCCAAAATAAAAAGGCAGCGCCGCCTGTCAAGGCTTTTCTGCGTGCGCCAGGTTTTTTGGTGCGTGCCAGCCCTACTGTATAACGGTCCGTAGACTACACCGGTACTTGTTCTTGACAATGACAAGTAAGATACTAAAACTTGGAGTTACTTTTATTGTTGTAGCCTAAAAATGTAGGCTGGCCCTGTACTAGGCTGTAGGCTGTAGGCTGTAGTGTAGGCTAGCTCACAACCACAACCATGATCTACATGCACTACTTTGTAGGCGCCTGCGCTGCTGCTCCTCTGACTGTGCTATTTTTGACTTTAGATCTGCCGTTCTGGCTACGGCATGCAGGCTACATGACTGTACTATTGTAACTACTTACTGCACATGACCCTGGTCCAGCGGCTGGGCATGGGCTGTACCGATACTGTAGTACATGTACATCCTGTCATATCCGCGTAGGTCGTGGTACATTTTGGTATAGGTAGCGCTTTTATTTCGCGCACAACGAGCATTGATTTTTTCTTTATCTCGGCCGTATACGCGTAGCTGTGGCCTTCACGAATTCGCCCTTCTTCAGTTGGAAAATTTACGTGCCTCGCTTTGTTGTGAGGCTCAGAGCCCTGTGTGGAGGTAGTCGCCCGTTGACTTTCTAGATTGTTATTCTCATTCCCCTTTCTCGTTCCGTCAGATAGCTGCTAGTTCGGCGAGAATGGATGATGATTTGGAGGTACCATCCTTCACCTCCACTGATGAGGAGCTGAACTTTTGGAAGCAGAAAGCACTGGAGTATCGTCAGAAGTAAGAGCTGTTTCGTTAGAGAATCATGGATAGCTTGTGGGCTCTCCGTTGTGTGCGCAGTGCAGTAGGGCCGGCTTGAGCACTGCTACTGCAGTGCCTACCTGTGTGTAAGGAGTGGTGGCCTGTCCCGTTTTCTGTGTGTTACTCTGCAGGACGCAGGAGATTCAGGACGAATTTGATGAGTTCCAGGAGAGCAGTCGAATGCTGGAGGCAGAGCTGGAAGCTCAGCTGGAGCAGGCTGAAAAGCAGGTCTCCGAGGTCAGCGGAAGCAAGGTGCGGATAGAGCAGGAGCTCACGACGGCCAAGGTACGTTTTGTCCTCGTTTCGAGCAGCGCCGTCAATGTCTTTGTAGTTGCAACGCATGTGATTTGTTCGTGGACAGGAGAAAAAGGATGTTGTTGATGTATGCATGCAAATTGTAATAGCAACCGGTGTGGTCGATATTGAGCCGCTCTCAATACGTACAATCTTGCACATGGGATCGGGAACAACTGCAGAATCGTCTCCGTTTTGTTCAGACGGATGTTGGACTTCGTGTGTGTGGTCAAAGCGAGAAACACGTCGCCTCTTTGTCATCTTCTTGCGCTTGAGCAAAATATTTTTATTTATTGACTAGTGCGTTTTGATTGTGTGCCCAGTCTGACTGGTTGGAGAACTCAAAGACAAAGGTTGACTTTCTTTTTCTAAAGACCACACTGCTGTACCAGCTCGGAGCTTGCGTTGCACGTGTCGTATTTTTGTAGGCAAAGCCGCCACACATGCGTTCTGATAATGCCCGTCAGTTGTGCTCGACGCCGATTAAAAGCCGCTCATGTGCAGGCGATGGAATGCAAAATGTCATCGGCAATGAATCGACTTCAGTGACCTTCTTTAGGCGTCGTTTTCAGCAGGAGGACAAAAAGTCACTTCCCATGATTGGCATGAGTCAGTGTTACCAGCCCCCCCCCCCCCCCCCCCCCCCCCCCCTGTGAGACCAGTGTACCCTATATCTGCCTCCGTCCTGAGCTGCGTTGATGTGCATCACATGCACAGTGTGTATTATTGCATCTTCATCAACACTGTTGTAGATTTGTAGTTCTTGAAGCTGAGGCTGGGCATGTAGACTGCAGGCTGCCTTTGTGTAATTTGTAAAATGCAGGACTTGATGTGATTGGTTGTCCAGGTCATTGTGCACAAGTAACATACGTACATGTAAGCATGGACTGCTACAATGAGCAGCAGGGTATTACTACATGTATGTATTGACTATTGGAGACATTCTTGTACACAAAGCAGTCTCTCCGTACACTGGGAAAACACGGAGTTTCACATGGGATTACATTTCGGACAGTGTAGATGTGCACGGACCTGTACATTAACTAGTTAGCTGAGCTGTACGGTCTGAAGTTCTCGTGCGGAGTATGACAGGTTGGCTGCCGGAAGCTATACCCAGACCAGGTCCAGCGACCACTCTGTAGCTATCGTGTTCATGGTGCAGGGTACACTGATTTTTCGCGTGGCATGCTGTTTTGCCGCTACAGAACCCACAGATCCCAACGACTGTAGCTGCACACTCTTTGGGATTGTGTACCCTTGAATTTTGATACTGACAATGCCGGTAGTGCCAAAGGTCGAAACGTCCCATGTAGGCACTGGTACCGAAATCCGCATCTGCTGCTATTGCTGAGGCTGTTGTTGATAATCATGGTATGCCAGTGAGGTCTGTTGTAGGCACCTGAAGAATTCAGATACTGCAACGATGGGTGTTTCTTCCCCGTTGTTGACTTGTTTACAGGAGAAGATGGCTGCGGCGGAACATCAGAACTTTGTTCTGATCAGCTCATTGACGGAAGAAGCACGCACTCTGTCGCTACACCGAGAAACATTGCAAAACTATGTCCGCGAGCTGGAGCAGACGAACGATGATTTAGAACGTGCAAAGAGGTAAATCGACAGAGAGTGTTATTGGCCAGGACTTTCTTTTGGCTGAATGCCACGTGTATCCTATTTGGTCAAGGATACTGATGGTACACTAGGTACACATACAATACTAATGTTGTGTCTGATCATTGGGAGCATGATATTACTATTGGGACGGAGGGACCAAGTTCTATATAGAAAGGTATCGTCGACTTCTGGTGGTCCTCTATTCATGTTGTGCGTTCCTTGGCTGTGCACCTGACAGTTGTAGCGTCCGTTCGGCTTGTTTTGCAGAAATACTGTGCAGTCTCTAGATGACTTTGAGAAGCGTCTCAATGAAGCTCTAGAGCGCAATGCATTGCTGGAACATGAACTGGATGAAAAGGAATCATTGAACTTCATGGTACAACGTCTGAAGGATGAGACACGAGGTAGGGGTGTGTGGTGCACGTTGGTTGCCGTTGTGCTGCTGTTGATCCATTATGGGCAAGGAGAGACACACACACACACACACACACACAGAGAGAGAGAGAGAGAGAGAGAGAGAGAGAGAGAGAGAGAGAGAGAGAGAGAGAGAGAGGGGGGGGGGGGGGGGGGGGGGAGAGAAGTTCCAGTTCTCCCACATACATTGTGGCTACCTGTATACATCAGCATGTTGCTTTCATTGCATTTCTAGCATACATGTACTTGTGTCAGCTGTCACTGGTGTGCCGCCCTGCTCTCCTCACATGGTGCCATGTTGTCATTGCCACGCGAACACGTCTGTATTCCTCATTGTCTTGCATACACATGTGGCATACATAGTTATGGGCAAGTACTCTGCATGTTCTTCAATGCATTATTCTAGATAGTCTTTCGTCCTATTCGCTCAAGTCATTTGAAGTTATCTTCTTCTGTTGTTACCATCTATTCTCATTATTTGTTTACAATGCGGTGAGTGATCCGTATTCCTTACATACTGAGTTATTATGTCATTTCTGCCTGCAGATCTACGCCACGAGCTGGCAGTTCGACCCAAAGTTATAATCCGTGAGGTGACCCCGTCAACAGGCGTGACCCCTGCATCATCAATATCTGCTCTGGAGGAGGCTGGTCGTGATTCAGCTGCTACATCGCAGGCAACAAGTCTAGATTCATCCAAGTCCAGCCTTCGGGGAGATGAGGTAGGCTGTACAGATGTATTACCGGGGTTCACCAAGGAGCTATGAAAAACTCCTTTTCTCTTTCATCCCACCTCGTGCCAGTAGCCAACCAATCAAAACAAAACAAAAACAAAAAAAACAGATCAGTGAAAATCAAGCCTACCAATGGGTGCACGAACCCTGGCTCACACCGGACTGGATCAAGCAGCTACAGTTGCGCTCGGTGAAATCCGGCCCGAAGTGCATAACTGGCGCCCAGTACTGATGCGGCCCTTTACGCCCTCAAAGTTGTACAAGTGCTAGTGTACACGTGTGTCGTATAAACTGTGCATGTGCTGTACTCATACACATGCATGCTTACACCAAAGTGTAAAAAACCGCGCCAAACAAAGTTAAGTGTAACATTCAATTTTGAACTGTTTTAGCATGCAACACGTGCACTCCGAACTTTTACACGAGGTGCGTACAGTTGAGTTCATTCACACAAATCGCCAGTGATGTAATGGGAGCTGGCTTCGCGGCGCCGGCTTTGCACTTCGGGCCGGATTTCACCGAGCGCAGCTGTACAATCAATGTCAGAGCACAGCACAGATCGCAGACTACAAGTTGTACAAGTATACAAGTAGCGGCAAATAATGGATAGCAGTGACAGCAGTGTAGAGCCAGTCGCATACAAATGCATGAAACGGTCAGACAATACAGTCATGTACCTGTAGTCGTGCGAGAACTAGACCCAAGTACACCCATACCTCGCACTTCGCCTTCGGTCTACCGGACACCCGTTGGGCGAGCTTCAGTCAAAATATTACAACTCTTTTGTCACTTTTCGTGGAAGTAGTGACATCACATGCCATATCTAAAGCCTTTCCCCATGAAAATGTATGTGACTCGGAGTTACGGACACTTTGAAGGTACGGGCAGTATGCGGCCCCGAACCGCCCGGATAAACGAGGTATGAGTGTAGTGTGTAACTGCATGTCCAGTGACCGTGACTGAGGGCCAATACATCAATACCAGACATGTAAGCTACTCAGTATACGTAGAACCTAGACTATGCACAACATACATGTACATGTAGCTGTAATACGATACACCACTAGGTAGCATGTTGAATACGATGGGCGTAGCTATGTATCAACACGAGCCAAATAACACAGGAATGCAAGACTCTTCTGCCACCAATTTAAGGTTCTGTCTGTGTGTGTGTCGTTATAAGCCCTGTTCTTGGTGCATGTGTGTGTGTGGTATGTGTGCATGTGACTGGGTGCACTTGACCACTCTCATATGCCAGGCTGCAGCTGGTAGCAGCGCAACATCTTCGTCGACGGCAACAGAGGCGGCAGAAACCAATGGTACAGCACTGGCTAACGGAGAGGTCCCAGCACAACCGAATGGAGAAGTTGCTACTGAAAACAGGGAAGAAGCGAAGGGTCAGCGGAAAAAGCTGCATCGTCAGTCGACTAGTGTTGGCACAACACCACTACCTCCAAGTACTCGGTTGTCAGCACTAGGAATTGTTAGTGATCTACTTCGAAAAGTTGGCATGCTTGAAACCAAGCTGTCGAATGCACGAAGTTTGCAATCGCAGCAAGCCTCGACACAAGTCTTCTCTCCCATTCACGAAGCTAACAGGTATGTGCTACATTGTAGTACTCTGGTGGTTGCATTGGTGTCAATGCATAATTAATATTGTTACCAAGAGTTTGTCGAAGCATCACTGGTAAGTGAAGCTGCACACTCGGGGGGAAGGGGGTACTCTTGTCATTACTTATACTTCATGCGTCCAGGAAGTAACAGTTGGTGACGTGGCAAAACTTAAATTTACGTACTTTATGTGAAGTCACAAACCCTCTGCACCAACAGAACACGAGATGTATCGCAATGAGATATCTATGGTATGTTTGAAAGAGTAGTGACAGTACCCGTGTTTCCTATTTGAGGTGAACTGTTCTGATGACGGTGGGTTGCCTTCTGTCTGCTGGTCTTGCAGGCCCAGAGGAGCGGATATGTCATTTAGCTCTGCGAAGGTGGCTGTATGATCTGGCAATATCATCTCTCCTTGCTACTGCATCCAATTGACTAATGATGGATATACTTGGTGTGCTGGTGTCAGTTTAGACCGTGCTACTGGCCGCTATGAGTTTATTTCAGTTCCATTAGAACTCTGTTGATTATCCATTTCGATCTTCTCAACACTAAGTATCCATGACACAAAATGTGCTTACTTCTGGTGCAAATTTCATCTTGCTGAGACTTGACCTTATTATTAATAACGATATTATTGAATCCGGAATAGACCATCCAGCAGTTCTCCCTCCCATCGCTAATACTTCAAGTAGTAACTTATCTATGTGCTACCGATACCTTGCTGGCCTTGGTCATTGTTGATGAGTCATCCTTCATGGTGTATAACATTGGTGTTCTAGCTTCGCATGCACTGGCAGTATTTATGCACCATGGTTTAGTAACCAACCTAAAGGTACGCTGGAAGGTAACACATCATTCTCTCTTCCCTAGTAATTCTCTTCCTCAGGTTCTACCTTCACAGGTCTTCTCTTATTATGTACATCAGTTAACAGTTCATTTTATTCCAATCAAAATACAGAAGAGGAGGAAATAACCATCACTACAAGATGACGTAGTGAGGGCTGATTGAATATGACTTGTAAGATCTTTTGTACAGCTTGAAGGAGCTGGGCTTGAATAGCTACGCAATACCAGAATATCTTTTTCATGTTTTACAATATTACGTTTTGCTTGTACTGTGTTGTAAAGGCAGTCATGTCCAACGTGAAGTGGCTGCCTTTTCGGGTGGCGGCATGATGTCACTTTGCACTTGGCTATTGCTACTACTAGTGCTAAAGGACGGTTCTAAAAATCATTTAATGACAAAACTAAGCACAGCAGGGGTTCAAGCTTGGGGGGGGGGGGGCAACAGCACTGCCACAGCCTTCAAGAACCGGACAGCTACTCAGCCGAGGCAAGACACAAAAGGTAGGAAGTTAGCAATGGTACTGGAGTCCCTGGTTGATGATACTGAGTTGAACGCTTGTTCAACATAATGTGCAGCCTGGTGTCTAGTAGTCGAGCAGCGAAGTGTAGCAGTATAAGCTAATGCAGGGGGGGGGGGGGGGGGGCTTTGCTCTATTCCGATTGTTCAGTAGCCGATCAGAACACAGATAAGAAACAGCAAAGGAGGAGGAGGAAAAAGGTGTGTTGTCCAAGGCTCGCAGGGGCGTGTGGTCTGATTACCCGGATGCTAGTCCAAGGAGGAAACCTGAGAGGAACCCCCCAGATACTGCCACATTGTCCTTTGCAAATTGGCCCACCTATAATGGAAGTACACAGAAAAAATAAACTATACAGTGGTGCACTGATCAAATCACACAATGAAGATTGCAAATAGCAATTTGAACAGCACTGCATAGGCGAATTTCACGCGAATGCATTCATGTGATCATCCAGGACTCTAAAAGTGGACTTTTGCCGGCATATCAGTAATTGACCCGGGTCAACCGTCTTCATGTAACACCCACCTATTTTTTTCCATCACACAGACTTTCAAACCGGGTTGAAAATTCTCATGTAAACGGCCTTAGTGGCAGAGCATCACTGGCCATAAGCGTAGGTCCCGGATTCGAGCCCCGGTGGTGAGTCAATTTTTCCTTCCAAATTTTTACGTTTGCAACTCCCTCAGCTGATGAATATTTTTATGATTTAGATAGCAAAAAGTCCGGGGTTACCAATAGTTTTTGCAAAAACGATTTTTTTTAAGTATTTTTCAGTGCCCACCCGGGGTACCCGGTACCCACCCACCCACCTTTTCTACAGGTAAAAACGAATTCAAATAAAATATTGATGTCAATTTTCGACACCCACATGTAACTCTCCATCTCCATTCAATAGTTATTTTTAGGGCTCAAACAGTCACAGTTTTACCCCTAACGGTTAACTGCTAAGCTAACGGTCGGCTTAACGGTTATAACCTATAAGCCACGGCAATCCTGCGGACTCTTTTTTAACCGTATATTTGACTATACTCATTCAAAAAATGTACCCTAATCAGTACAACGCACACATGTACATTCTCTTGCATGCTCATTCATACATACTCTCACACCAAGAGACCAGATATGACCGAGTTGACAGCCCAGAAATTGCGTATGCGTGCGACAGCCTGCGAAAGTGCATACTTTGCAACGACCTGATACTTGAAAAATTGACTGAAAAGTTACTGCGTAACCGATATCTTTATCGGTTAACCGTTAATTCTTCGTAACCGGTTTGCAACCGGTTAATCGGACTAACCGTTTGAGCCCTAGTTATTTTCAAAACAAAACTCCTTGAAACCCACTCACCCCCAAACGAAAACTTTTCGTTTTGAAAATACTATTGGTAACCTTGGACATCACCATCACCACGCTTCACGGAAGCCATCAAAGTGTTCCAGAATCGATTTCATGTCACCATCATCTGTGGAATATTGTGACTGAAGGTTAGCCATGCAAAAACAATGATACATTCCATAATGTGTTACTTCAAGTTACTTCAAGTACAAGCAAGAAACAAGGTGCTATATCATTTTTGTACAGCTATCCTTCAGTCACGATATTCCCCTGATGGCTGTGACATGAAAGTCGATTCTGGAAAGCTTTGATGAGTTCGGTGATGTGTGGTGATGACAGCAGAATTTATTCATTTTAATATTACTCTATTTTTTTATAAAGTATTGCTGTCTCCGTGTTGTGTACTGGTATTTATCTGTTCCCTGCCAGCTGCATTCTTCAAAAATTTGCTTCCTCAAATGGACAGTATGCCACTCAGCAGCTCACAGGATGCCTTTTCAGGTCAACCAATGCAAACCTGAACCGTTGTGATGGCAATGAGGTTAATGAATGGCGAACGGCAATGATCAAGTTTCAGCCACCGGGACCTGCAGCGCAGATACACAGGGGATCAGTGGCTCAAACAGCCTGTGCAGTCACTTACCTCCCGAGTCCAGCTCTGAAGAGATCGACCGCCAATTTCGGTACCGACGGCAGCGCGTGCTGTTTGCTCCTTGACCTGTTCCCACTGATGCTTTGTGTCTCGTTCAAGACGCCGCCAATTGATTGACACATAGCCTGCACGGGCAGCCAGCTAGGCCCCCCAACGGGAACAAGAAGATACATTGCAATAAGAAACATGGTTACACAGTCCCTGTGGTATAGATGCTCTGATCATGTGCTGAATGTGACTTTGCAGAACAAACATCACGTGCGCATGGACACACACACACACACACACACGGAGATAAGGAGGGGGAGGGCAGCTTACTTCCAACTACGGGCTGCTCAATGATATCCAAAAGCATAAATCAAGGACGTAGGCCCAGACCTGCCAACACTGGGCTGTGCACTGCTGACTTGAATCACACGATTGGATTTCATCAAGCAGCACTGAGTGTGCATGTAGGTAGAATGTAGAACGAGTTAAGGCTGTGATTGTTTGGTCGCATTGGGATCCAGATCCCAGATGCCGTGGAAACAAATGATTTCTTTTTCGTACCATTCAATAACATGTGTATTAACATGTTGATGAAGGAAAGTGGCGATTGAAAAAAAGTCACTCGAATTCAAACGAGGTTGCTGTAACAAGTGGCCCGTCACAATTCACTGTGCTCATGTATGTTTACTGCACGTGTACACTTTTTTTAACCTGTGATTCCAGTACAAATGTCTTGTTCTGGCAATAACAAAAAGAATCCTTTGGATCTACAATGTTGTCGACCCTGTTTCCGCAACAGTCCTGCTCAGATCCAAATCTGATGGATCCAGATCCAACCAAATAATCATCACGAATCGAGTGGATCCTACAGATCTGGATCAGGATCCGATCGAACTATCACAGCACAATTCTTTCTGGGTTTTTTTACAACTAACCTGAATCAATATTAATCCGCCACCAACAGCTGCAGCTGCTGTTGTGCTGACACGTTTGAACACATACCCTGTTATCCTGAACACATGCCACACGGAAAAACAACACAGGTATACAAGTAAAACCAAGAGTACATCACCCTAAGAGTGTGCAGCTACCTGCACTATCTCTATACATGTACAGTGCTGACGCGGCAGAGCTTCACATTACGTGACATAGTTCAATAGGTCACGCTGGCAAATAGTGCAAAGTGACCACCAGAGAGTTGCACCCAAAACACTGCAGCTACCATGCACAGCGTGCAGAATGTGTGCACGGGTTTGTCTGGTGATGTTAACTTCTGCCGCTGCAGACCCCACCGACTGAAGTAATTAACTGCACACTCTTGGATTGATAACCCCACAAGACTGTCTGATTGTAGCATGTATGTATGCACATAAAACAATTAACAGTATATGTACAACATGTATGCTTTCATAGTAACAAGCTGTGCGCATACCGTAAAGTCGCGGATAAAAGCCGGGCTTATAAGCACATAAGCCGCTTTCTGCAACAGGCTTCAATGCAAACCATGCTTATATGCACCACTGATATTTTTGCCAGGCTTGTATGCACATCGGCCGATCCGGGCTTGCATAGAAGCCAGGCTTCTACGCGCGACACGCCTATTTACCACTGACTACCGGTATGGCGGCAGTTTTACTATGCACTGTACATAGCGCATGCACTCTTGACCTACCCGATCCTCGCTTGCATAGAAGCCAGGCTTCTACACGCGACAGGCTTATATGCATTGACCCGTTTGATTTTCAGGCTTCTATCCGCGATGTGCTTGTATGCAAACCCGGCTTTTATCCGCGACTTTACGGTACTCTCACTGTCTTGGTCCTCTTCTCCTGCTTGTCAATGGACAAGTACATGTAACAACCTGAACACTGTTGACTTCTGAGTCTGAGTATGTCAAGAGTATGAATGTTGCAAATTTACAATGGTGGCAGCGGTGGGATTGGAACCCACACCTCCGGATAAACTGGAGCTGGTGCCCAGCGTACACAGTCACAGCCTATGCGGGTTATCCGTTTCAGCTTGTAGTGCTTAACATTAACATTGTTGGTCCTTTGCCATAGACTCCCCCGTGGTAATCAACATCTGGTGGATATGGTTGACTACCTCACTCGATGGCTAGCAGCATTCCCGCTCCAGTCAATGGAGTCCCAGTTACTAGTACTAGCAGAGTTACACCGTCTGCTCAGTAGTCGTAAGACCTGTATTATCCCCTATCACCTGGATGGTGACGGCCTTGTGGAAAGGCTTCCCATATTGCTAGGTCTACTCCGCGCTCACACTACACCAACATCCTTATAATACATAGAGTGGGACGCCACATTTTCTGGTGTAATTTCTGGTCGTACCGTTCCGCTGTTCATTTGTCTACTGATCACAGTCCTGACAGGCGCACTGAGCTATGTTTGTCAGGTGATGTGTTTGGTTTGCTGCCACACATGTCCATCAAATCCTCTGGCTATTAATGTATTATCTCCATTTGGACTTTGCATTGTGTGTCGTTCTTACTCAGTTCCCAGAGCTTGTTGATCTCTCTTATGAGCATCAGGAAGGTCATTACGATTTTAAAGGGTACGGTCATTCATCCTGGTGAACACCACAAGTTAGTTCCACTGGCCCTGGCGTGGTCCCTATCGTGCTGCCTCTGCTCCTGGGTCTAGCACTCTATATTGCAGATGTTGAGGGCTGCAACAAAAGCACTTCACTTCAACTGCCTGTATGCTGTCCCAATTTGCATCACTGCCTCTGAAAGATCAGTTATGTACTCTTGGTGAAACCCAGCTTAAATGAAACAGATCCGCACATGGACACGCCATGCCACGTCACTTCAACCACTGCCGGCAGGGTCATGCAGCCACCCCATAGGACATTCTAATGGCTGAGGGCTGGTATCTCAAAAAGGCACTTCTACCTCAGTACATGCAGCACAAAGAAACCAGCAGCCTAGATGGAGATGCAGAGTGACATACAGCAGTTCACACTTCAGTGTTGCTTAGTAAAATTATGAAAAATAGCATTGATACCGAACTGCCATACTTTTTATGCAACAAACGCACACATACGGCTGCAAGTCGTGAAGCAATGCGTGGCTAATACATGTAGTTGGGCACTCCAAAGCATCAACGCAGCTCTAAGGAAAGAACTCACGCTCCTGGAACAGCACCAGCTGCTACTTGCACTGCCACTGGCTGGTCACCAAGACTGACCAACGAGAAGGCAGTACCTGGCCGTGAAGCAACAGCATTCTCGTCATTCCGCTCTTCCTCACCATTGACCTCTTCAATAGGTCTAGACATGTTGCCAAGTAATAATGCCTACACCACACACACACACACACACACACACACACACACACACACACACACACACACACACACACACACACACACACACACACACACACACACATACACACACACGTATATACACACATGCGCACGCACGCGCACATATACACATTATATACCGTATTTTCCCAATATAAGTCGACTTCGAATATAAGTCGATCACCCCAAATCCAGGAGTCAATTTCATGAAAAAAAGTTTTTATAGCTCCATAACACCCACACATACAAAAATGATGAATTCTCTGCGAGGAGAGATCATATCATGCCAGTAAGACAAAATCTGAACAAAACCAGTGTCACTCGCGGGACGAAAGTTCACATGGTACGTACGGTAGTGCATTTTTGTACGGACACTCCAGTCACTTCATTTGTTGTGCCAGATTCCCGTATGTAAGTCGACCCCCAGCTTTTGGCGAAATTTCTGGCGCACAGAAGGTCGACTTTTATTCGGGAAAATACGGTACTCAATCTCAGTTTATATATACACACACATCCACACACATCCACTCAATGTATCTGTTTGTTTGTTTGTTTGTTTGTCTATCTTCATGTATCTGTCTCTTTACTCTTGCCTTGTCAAAGCCCAAGTGACCCTTGGGGCAGTGATTCCACAGGACCGGACTGTTGTTTGTGCATGTGTATGTGTGTGTGTGTGAGAGAGAGAGAGAGAGAGTGTGTGTGTGTGTGTGTGTGTGTGTGTGTATGCATGTGCGCCCGCGTCAGCCAGCGTCTGAACAATGGACATGTTTGCCTGACTTGCCGTCGACCTCAGGACTTGAATAGGCACAAGTGCGAGCCCCTCGCTATCCCAGCTCTCTCAAGGTCGTCACCCCATACGGGGTTCACAAGGCCTACGCCAAGGCTGTTTGCTTCAATGCTATTGTATGTATGTGCATGTTTGTGTGTGTGTGGGTGTGGGTCAATGACGATGCCCCCCAAACTCTGGCCCCCTCCGGGGGTGACATTGCCCAATGGGCAATCATGCTATAGTAGTGTGTATGCACGTGCGTGCGTGTGTGTTTGTGCATGTGCGTGTGTGCATAGGTAACTGTCTTGGCTGTTTTATGCCGATGTACTCCGTGTGGTGTAGACTAGGTGTGTATTGGTGGTCGATTCACATGGCTTCGCAGGTTGTGTGGATTGGACAGTTATCTGGCGCTAGTCTTGATCTGTCTCATTCAGATCTTGTCCACTATCGTTGCTATAAGAGAAAATCTGAAGGTGCACAATTTTGTAGATTCGCGTGCTTCTCTTGCGACGGGCGTATACATGGTATTATGGTGTGCGTGTGTGTGTGTGTGTGTCCACGTGTACGTGTGTGTCCATGCATGTGTGTACGTGAGTGTATACATGTGCTCAGTGTATTAGGAAGTGTAAAGACTAAAGAGTCCCAAACCAGCGTAATGAATACCGGCATTTACAATTACATCCACACCTTTTCACTAAGATAAGTTTAATAATGTCACTTCGTTACAGTTCAAAATATTCAGCGAGGACTTCAACAGAAAGGTACAAAATATGCCCGTCCAATGGTCAAGTACTGTGAACGTAGTGAAGGCGGTTCTATTAGGTAGTGATAGAAGGAAACACGTTAGTATAAGTCACTTACCGACACTGGCAATAAACAACTTGGGAGCTTTCTTCCAACAGCTGCAACTAATTTAAAAAAGAAGCAACTCTCTTCTTGGGGGAGGTATGCAGCTCCCACTGAAAATTCTGTGTTCCAACTCAAGCTAGGGAGAACATGAAACCTCTTCACTTTGAGTTTGAGCAGCTCATGGCCTTGACATAGACCGCGATATTATAGATATTCAAACAAAGGTGATGCAATATTGTATTCTTTTCATTATGCCATGACATGTCCGCTGTTTGTCACAGTTTGACATGATCATAATAAAAATGTAATATCCTCATAATTATTATGAGGGTGTTGACGTCATGACGGCAACAATACAACCAGGGAGTCGTAAAATACCAGGTATTTTACGACTCCCTGACTACAACGCGTAACGAAATGTTCAGGTTGTCATAGTGCCGAGTGCCCATTTTCAAAATGTTTCAAACCCGTTTCAAAAAAAGCAAAGCGTGTGTTTGAAGATCCCGTATCAGAATATCACTGCAGTCCACGTCTAGACGTCTGAGGTCTGTAGGTCAGGGAGTGTAGTACAAGTGACGCGTAGTACAATACGGTACTCTCAGTCATTCTGGAGCTGTCTCTGTTTGGTTCCAGGCTCATGCATATCAACAAGTCACTGCCTGCTTGAAAAAGAAGTGAGTGAAGTAGGTTTTTGTTGTTTTTGGTCATTCTCTGTTCGACAAGGCGCTAAGGGCAAGGCCGGGGGAGCTCAAAGGAGTCGAAGGCAAGGATTGTCTATTTTTTTATGCTGCTACGACTTTGTCTGAACCACTGAGCAACGTTCGATTCCGAAGCTATATCTTGTGCCATGGAGGCAGGAGAGAATGACGACTCAGTTGAATGCCTTTCGAACGGTTACCTTCAAAAGCATGTAATACAGCTACAATGTAAAGTCTGCGAGAACTTCATATGCTATAGAGGGATGAGAGCAATCCTTTTGGCTGATATGTCTGTGGAGTTATTTTCTACAGACCTGCCTCCCTATCAGTAAGTTGGTCATGTGGCTTACCACGCTGCTTTTAGTGCTGCCTTGACTTTGATATGCTCGAAAACTTCTTTTGTCTTTCATACTCAGAGCGGTAGAACTTGTGGGAAGGGACTATTCCACTGCGAACTGTGAATGTCGGATTCGGGATGTTGCTTGTGGAGCCTGGTACGTACACGTGTATTCTACGAACACCGTACGCTATGTTTTGAAAATGTCGTGCAAAGTGCAAAGTTTTTGTTGTTGGGTTTTTAAGCGGGATTCACAGAAGCTTTTTTGCGATGGGACGCGATCTGCGACGGACGCGTGCGATACGAACTCGCGAAATACCATTCACAGAAGAAGTCAGTGATGCGACAACGCCTTGCTGATTTGGGTACGTCACCATGATATTCGCGCGGTTTGATACAACTTGTACAAATTTATAGGCAACTCTTGAACCATTGTACAACTTTGCTGTAGAAAAGGTCAAAATCGTACGCCAAATCGCTTGTCGCATCGCATCGCAAAAGTTGAGCCAAGCTCAAATTCTGCGATGGCCCAGTTGCGGCAGTTGCGTGGGGTGCGACATGGCTGCGATTTGGGGTTTTCCCGGTTTTGCGCGTGTCGCATCGCGTGTCGCATCGCAAAAAAGCTTCTGTGAATCCCGGTCGAGTTCAGCCCGGGTTGAAAGTCTGTACGATAGACAAAATAGGTGAGCGTTTACATGAAGACAGTTGACCCGGGTCAAATACTGATATGCCGCCAAAATTCCACTTCTGGAATACTGTATGGTCACGTGAATCCTTTCGCGCGAAATTTGCATGTGCAGTGCTGTTCAAACCTGGCGCGAGATACGCACAGAAGTACGTTTGTACGATTTTCTTGACCCGGGTTGAAATCAACCCGGGGCGAAATTTCAACCCGGGTCAAGCGCAATGCGTCATGTAAACGCGCCATTCATTTTGTGCACATGGCGGGTTGAAATCTGACCCGGGTCGAACTCAACCCGGGTCGAGTTCAGCCCGGGTTGAAAGTCTGTACGATAGACAAAATAGGTGAGCGTTTACATGAAGACAGTTGACCCGGGTCAAATACTGATATGCCGCCAAAAGTCCACTTCTAGAGTCCTGTATGGTCATGTGAATCCGTTCGCACGAAATTTGCATGTGCAGTGCTGTTCAAACCTGGCGCGAGATACGCACAGAAGTACGTTTATACGATTTTCTTGACCCGGGTTGGTTTCAACCCTCCCCCAAGGGGAGGGTTGGAATCAACCCGGGGCGAAATTTCAACCCGGGTCAAGCGCAATGCGTCATGTAAACGCGCCATTCACTTTGTGCACATGGCGGCTGAAATCTGACCCGGGTTGAAACGCCTCATGTAAACACAGCCTTAGGCTGTGTTTTATTCATACATGAGAATTTTCAACCCGGGTCGAGTTCAGCCTGGGGTTGAAAGTCTGTACGATGGAAAAAATAGGTGGGTGTTTAGGCCAGAGAATAGTACAATACCGGTATTGTACTACTCCCTGGTTTAGGCCATGTAAAATACACTGTATTAGGGGCCGTCCATAAATATCGATGTGTTTTTTCAAGACGATATTTGTTCATTTCTCCCCAGACCCCCTCCCTCCCCCCTCAAAACGAACATACACATGTTTATGCAAGGATCGATATTTTTTAATGAAGTTCAATTTCCTCATGAAACGTGACCAGCTGCCACTCTAATTTCACCATACACCTAGGTTTATGTTGACACGGTCGCACAACCTTGCAATACGGTATTTGACGACTCCCTCATGGTGGTCGTGTTCTGGGAATACCCTTCGACCGTTGACAAGGGACGTTTTGTTCCACATGGAAAAACGTATGAAACTATGTGTGAAAGTGCTGGTCTACTTTGCAAGGTTACTTGTGAAACTTTTGAAAGGTTCAGGCGGATATTAGTGCGTTTTTTATAGACCGAAACCTCATCAACAGATCATGCCAAAGCACATCAATAACGTAACTTGCTGGACCAAATGTGTGTTGGAAAGGGTGTTCGCCAAAGGGTGCCAGTAAAGGGAAGTAAGTGGATAGGGGAGGGTTGACTGTGTACATGTATGTATTTCAGTATAATAATTATAGTGCGTAGGAGAAGTAGCGCCTAAAACATTGAAGTCAGTTTAGCTTTATGTGTCAATGGCGCTATGGATAGCAGACAAAGTGCTGCTGGGCATTTCTAAGTGGAAAACGCATGCATCTCTGATACGTTGACACACTGTAGTATTCTCCACGTTGTCATACTGGTCACGTACACTACTCCACGTAGTCATACTGGTCACGTACACTACTCCACGTTGTCATACTGGTCACGTTGTCATACTGGTCACGTACACTGCTCCACGTTGTCATACTGGTCACGTTGTCATACTGGTCACGTTGTCATACTGGTCACGTACACTACTGTAACCGTATATTAGAGGGAGCTCGTTGGAGCAACCAACTCTTTGTTCACTATAATATTAGATAATCGAACATGTGTGTTACTATGCAATCGTCATGTACCGTATATTCTCTATTATAAGCACAGGTCTCCATTACTAGCACAGTCTCTAATACTAGCACACTGTGAGCACCTTTCGGAACATTATAAGCACAGTCTCTATTACTAGCACGGTCTTGGTGGAAATCAATTCTGCATGCATAATATCTAGCATGTATTTCTTCTTGCTCTGTATGGATGTATTGGTTGAAAAAATATAAGCACGGTCTCCATTATAAGCGCGGTCTCCAATATAAGCACGGGGTAGAGGGGTGTTGAAAAAATATAAGCACGGCGCTTATAATAGAGAATATGCGGTATCCTATGCGGTTGGACTGACAGGTTGTTCTGTTCTCCTTTTCTTGCTCTCCCTCGCATGCAGTGGGGAAAGAGTGGGCTACCATGTGACTCTACCATGTCAGTGCTGCCTTTCGTCCAACAACAACGGGCATTTCTGGATGTTCCACTCTGATGCTTCCCTCCCAAGTCCTAGAACAGACCAGAGAGGTAGTGTGAATTTATGATCAGATCTGTTGTTCTGATAATTAACCCTTTCCATGCTAATGATGTCTATAGACGTCATGCGCGCTGTACGCCAAACGACTAATGACGCCTATAGATGTCATGAGATTTGTGCAGTATATCGCAGGGCATAGATCAGTGTACACACTTTCGTAACTCTGTCAAAAAGAGGTCCATCGCGACGATCGATGCATCGTTGGAAAGGTCTTGAGCTCAGCTTCCCAGGAGATATAAAGTTCTTTGTGATACGAGAAAGATCGATGGAGTGGCGGTGGAGTGAACACGGAATTCACGGCACTGAGAGATCGTGATTTTTTTTGTTCATACGTTCGCAGCTTTCTGCTTCATGCCAGGGAATTTTTTTCCCTTTGGCACAGCGCATGCGTAATGGACACCAAATGAAGCATGTGGATCTCAGCTTTGCAGAGCAGTTTGGATCGTGAAAATCGAGTGAACTGGAACAAGAAGCCGAAAAGAATGTGAGATCGAGATGCTGTGTCGTTCCGAGGCATAGTGAGGTAGTTTTGAGAAGACGTGGAGGTTGCACTGCCGTGCTTATCGAGCTGAGAGCTAACAGGATGGATTCGCTTGGTTCTGATCTTTCCAACAAGCCCAGGATGATGAAAATCCATCAAAGTGAACTGAAACGAGAGAAAAATTCGTTCGGACCTCTGCGAGAAAATGACATCAGGAGAGTCAGTGCACTGGAAAGGCAGTTTGCTGGAGGAAAAGGGGCCAGCACGGAAAGGGTTAATAAGAGAGAGACAGACATACAGACAGCCAGAGAAACAGAGACCCACAGACAGAGGGACAAAGAGAGTCACAGGGAGACACACAGACATAGACAGAGAGACACAACCACAGAGGGAGACAGAGACGGAGACAGAAACAGCCCGAGAGAGAGAGAGAGAGAGAGAGAGAGAGAGAGAGAGAGAGAGAGAGAGAGAGAGAGAGAGAGAGAGAGAGAGAGAGAGAGAGAGAGAGAGAGAGAGAGAGAGAGAGAGGGAGAGGGAGGGAGGGAAGGAGAGACACAGAGACAGAGAGTACATTACCATGACTAGAATCATGTAGAATGTAAACTGCATTGGAATTTTTGGTGGGACCAGTTGTAGCAAATCACTTTTATTGACTCGTAAGATGCTATCTTGTACTTGAGAAAGTAAACACTTGTGTATGTAGGTGTGCAGTACTGTATTTTCTGGACTATAAGCTGCACCCAGATTTTTTGTCATGAAATACAGACATATACCCTATTTTTCACCGTTAATTTGACTGTCATTGTGTAAGCCATTAGCCCCTTAGCAACCCGTACGGTTTAGGGTCAAGCTTTAGGTTAATGTTAGAACAGAGGCCGTGCAGCATGTCTGTGTATGATGATCCTACCGGTAGGTCCTACCGGTAGGACCGAGGTCTATGCAAGCTATCGTTTTAAAGTGCGGCTTATACTCCAGAAAGATATGGTACTTCGTATAGACTCTACTAACTAAGAGGGCCGCTAGCTCTCTGCTTGGCTTCTCGTTTTAAGGGTGTCAATGGCATGCTGCCACGTTTGAGGGAATCTCGACACTTGCAAATTGCATCTTGCCCTCAGATGGTCATCAAGCAAGGACTGCGAATCCTCCATTTTCTGCATTGTTTTTGTTTGTGTCATAATCTTTGTACTTGAACGTGTGTTCTTTACTTCAGGTGAAATCCGCTACAACTGGACCAACTTGCCATCCGTTAGCGACGATCCAACAGTCAATCCCCCGTCTCAAGCACAGCCACAAATCCCCGAGTGTTTTAGATAATCTAATCCCCGTGTTTATAGGCGCTCTGTTTTAGTGAACATCATGGTTCCGCTAGCAGTTTGCTCTTGTCTATTTCCAGTCCGTGTGCTTCCTAGCTATGCTATGAGGAGCCTAGCGTCTGCTTGAGCTTGTGCGCGGTGCACTGCTATAATAGTCTGTATTTTGCCATCCCGCCCATGTCTTCGTTCTCTAGGACCGCTTCTTTTCTTACGCATGTTTTCTTCATCGTGCGAGGGTTTCGCTGCTAATGGTCGGCACTCTTAGTTTTTATTCTGAAGTTCACTTCTGCAGTCTGTGCCATATACTGATAATGCGACAACATGACATCTTAGTCTTGTTGGAAACCGGACTCCGGGTGTTCCGGTTGAAATTGCATAAAACTATTCACTCCATCTTGTCATGCAACTAGGTAGGTCCGAATTGATTAATATTATATATTTTTCCGTCTTGATTTTCACCATCATTTTAATTTCTTTTTTTTCATATTCATGAACATGTATGCATGTCTTCGTCTTGAGTGCGTCATGTCTAGTTGTGTTTCGTCGTCGTGTCAATAAACAGTCTTCTAAGTGTAGTAATTGTTATCGTCGTCCCTTTGTATAAGTGTGGAGATGGCACGGGACTGGGTGCAGGTGGAGAAAAGGCAGTTACTACATTTGCTTTGTTAGGCTGTTCTCTTTGGGCATTCTGCCGCGTTCTCGATACAATGCTGCAGTACCATCTCCTGCTGCATGCACGTTGGATTTCCCAACACAAAGAAGAATCCACTGTTTGCACAACATCGCAATTCATGCTTATTAATTTTGTATGCATCGTGACTGTGGAAGTAATATTTATTTTAGTTGGCTGGGTGACTGCTGGGTGAGTGGAGGCTGTTCACTGCTGTGTGACTGATCGCTAGTGCAATGCGGCTGCATAAAATGCACGAGACACTACTGCATGATGAGTAGTCAGGTAGTAGCCTGGACAGGCTGGAGCTACTACTCTTTGCTCTGCCGCACAAGAGACAGTCCCTGTGTTCACAGGTCTGGGGATGGTCGGGCTTCACTCGTTCAAATTATTTATTTGCCTGGGAAATGACCAAGCAAAAACGTCATCGACATGCATACAAGTACATGATGTACTGGTTCTTCGTCAAGAATATTATTGTATTCTGCGCAGTTCATCTTGCTGCCCGACACACATCCAGTATACCAGGCCCAGGGCATTCCCACCATGGGCATGGGCATGGCACTCGTCTACAATATCTACATCACTGGGTGCAAGGGTGCGATGAACGCGGAACAATAGTTTGTTCTGATGGTAATTCAGAGGAGTAAAAATGACCCCAAAAGCAGTAGACATTCCAAAGCCGCGATTTGTACCAGAGGGCTCAGTGTACAATACTCCCAGTAGCTAGAAACGCAGTTATCCTATAGTTGTTCAAGACAACCAAATCTATCGCCGTTGCAATGGTGAAGTAACATAAATAAGCTTGCATTGCTAGGACAGTGGCGGTGCAGAGTGTTTCGTCATGATCAAGACAATAGTGTAAATAGACGAGTGTTCCTCTCTTCAAATAATTATATAATCATATTTCGATTAGAATACAAGCATCTTGAAGAGTCTAGTGTTGTGAAGGAAATAATAGTTTCTTTGGTAATAGAATCTTTTCAACAAAACGGCACGTAGTCCAGTCAGCCAGCGACTGGCAACCTAAAAGAACTGTTGCTGGAATCTCCTCCAGCATGCTAATGGAATACAGGGTAACGCTAGTGTAACAGTCATTCCATTACTGTCATAGTATCATTCCACCTGGCCTTGGTGTAGGTACAAGTGACATTTAACTAACAGTAAGTATTGACAGTGGTGCTCTGGTGTTTAGGGCGGGTAGCCGATGCAGTTTCTTTTGACTCCTCCAATTGCTCCGACGTGGTGCTGAGATGAGCACTGTTCCGCCGGCGTAGAGATGATCGGAAGCTACTCGAAGAGGCAATACTGCTGTCCACACGCTCCGTTCTGCGCTTGGATGAGCTTGCTGATCTTACAAATGGTGCCGGCTTTTGTTCATTCGGCTGCCCTGGTTTGGAGAAAGTTTTCGCCAAAGACGATACTTTAGATCCTTGCCGTACTAGACCAAGTTCAGAGCGAATACTACTTTCTCTTTCCATATACATAGCAACGATTTCTTCAGAGTGGATACCAGACACTGCACGGGTACGGATATCATCATCAAGACTGGGCAGTCCCGACAGTACGTTAGCAGCAGGTCGTCCCACGATATGGCTAGAGGGTGCACCTTCTTCGCTTGGAGACTGGGCTGCACTACTGCTCATCGGCGACCCAGAGGTCTTCGGTGCTGTTTTCGGCGGTACGGCCCCACGTCGCACTGGTGGTGTTTGTGTATTTGGTGAAGTGGCACTGCTGGAGGATGCACCTACTGAAGAGGGCACAGCATAGTCACTGCTAGAGGTTGGTGACTGACTGAATGCGTCCTCCGACGTGGGTGAAATTGCACCAGCTGCCGTCGCTGCAGAAGATTCACCTCTCCGCACACGATGCATCAAGGGACCGGTGGGTCTACGTCGACCATACGGAGAGCCACTGTCCTCATCCACCTCATGAGTGCTATCTAGCGATGTCTCGCCAGACTCGCTCTGATACGCACTGCTGCAGGCAGAGCCTGACCTAGAAACCGGTGCCTGCGGGCGCTGTGCCGATGGCCATAGATGCGGCTTATTCCACTCCAGGCGATCTACAGATTCCGCTGGTGCCATCGGCTTCAGAATAACCCGTGCTGACTGCAAACCATGGTAGCTATTGACTCGCTTGAACTTGACGGCCGAGGCGACATGTTTCTCGCGCATGGAATCACGCCTTGCTCGTATAGCAGACTCATCGGCAGAACTGTCAGACTGTGCAACCATCTGTCCTCTATGCATATTGCGCTGGAGGCTGTTCGACTTGTAGTCTCCGTTGAAATTGTCTGTTGTGCTGCTACCGGGAGGGCTGAAGCTGGGAGATTGGCTTGGCTCAAGGTCTGGAGTGTGGCCAAAGTCCATCTTGTAGCCATGTTCAGTTAGCTCATCCTCAAGGGACGATATCTCTCCTTGAAGAGAAGCAAGGCGAAGGGAAATATCTAGGTCCTCGTGGTGCATGCTTTCCTGCACAGGCAAACAAAGCGGACATTACGTGTAAAGATATAGATTGCATTATCCCTGCCATTGCAGGACATCAACACTGTCACGGTTTCACGCAAGACTGCATGACGGGACATATTGGACGCATTTGATTACTACTACTACACGTTCTGGGACAGAATGACCAGACAGAACGGATTCCGACCGTGTAAAATTGGGTGTAATCAAAAGCCCCCATTGTGTGTCTGATAGGATGGGATGACAGGGCAGTGTACCTACAAGTATAACAAGTCACAGTCACCATCCATACTCCGCACTATACCCGGCTATAACAAACCATACGGTACTGTATTCTGTAAACGTGTGTACAGGCGCACAATTCTCCGTGTCTATATCTCCACACTGTCCATCCATACTACTAGTACTATGACTCGATGAGCTCCACACTACTAGGCTCCACATTATCTTGCATCTTTCCATTTCTGAAGCTGCTCACTTGCGGGCCATTCGCCCCCTAGAAACAGTGCCTAGACTGCAGCCAGGCTCAGTGTAAAACCCCACTGGGAAGGGTCTGCCGTGCACTACCCAATGATCTAGTTCTCAGTGCTACCTGACTACCCCTGCATAGATCAGAACAGTCACTGAGCATTACCTACTTGGACGTGTGTCCTACACAACAATTAACAAACTTAATCGACCATGACCACCTGCAAGTGTACTTTATAAGTGGTCTCTGACAGGTACTGGGTGTTACCCAATGAAACATGCTACCATTGCAACAAATCATAGTACTTGCCGCAAGGCAAGCACCATACACTGAGCAGTCTTCACACTATTTTGGCATTGGCCTGATCAAGTACACCATGAAACATGTTGCAGTCATTTTCCCAGAGAAAGGCCGGTACTAGCTGTCCAATGCTTCAAACTGCATGGCAACTACTGTATCAACAGGTCTTGTTTTATCACCCATTAGCCTGGTTCATCTATCCAAATTATTTAATTTCACATTTTATCGTATAGTAAACTAGTTCACAATCATAGGAGATGACCACGTCCACAGACTCGGTCAAACTATCTTTCTAACTCTCCTCGCTACTCTTCCACAGCATTCCAGCTGTATGGTACACAGGTCCATTCTGCACATGCCGCTGAGGCGTGAAGGCAAAGTAACTGTGTCATCACTACCAGAACCAGGCAGAATGTTGCTTCTTTTGTACCATGCCACTTTTAGCCTTTGTTTCAGTGGAGCCTCGGTTAGATACGTTTGATCACAACGCGTTTCAAACCAACAATGTGCATGCGTGCCATGCCTACATGTGTGTGTGTGTGTCACGGTGTGTGTGTGTGTGTCACGGTGTGTGTGTGTGTGTGTGTGTGTGTGTGTGTGTGTGTGTGTGTGTGTGTGTGTGTGTGTGTGTGTGTGTGTGTGTTCACGTGTAATGCCAATGTCCCTGCAAGAATCCTAACTATTACTATTACTTGGAAGTAGTACAGTCATGTAGATGCGGACATCTGCTCTTGCTAAATGTATGGGGCCAGATTGTTATGTACTTGTACTAGTAGTGTATATTGATCAAGTAGACATAGTCCAAGATTGTTCCTCCATGTAAGCACATAGTGTGGCTACATTCTTCCATTGCATGTACCATCACCACTGCACCAGGGTTAGTTTTTAGTTAAAACTAACTTACTGGTTACGTCACATGTTACAAAACATCATTTTCAAGTGCATGCCTGCACTGTTTAGACAAATTAGAGTTCTGCCACTGTCAGCTCTTGAAATAGTTGAATGTTCCCTTCACCAAATGATTTCCCAACCCCCAAAAACCCCAGCACCTGGAACATACATAGCCATGCTGAGTCTTTGTACTTGCACAGTCATAAAACATTTGCCAAGACTCAAAATGCTGCGAAGTAGCAAGCAATGAACCATAGACTTCATAGTCATAGAGTTCGTCGTTAGACCTGAGCACGGGGTGAAATAGCCTGCCGTGCAGTGCATGCAGTGGATTGCCAACACGGACGGTGTATGTACAATCATGCATGTACGTACCAGGTCACTTCTGAGATCACGGACGATTTTGTGGATGGCTGTTTCGGCTTCTGAGACGCCATCCGGTTGAATTTCCATCACAGACATTCCAGTTCCATCGGAGTCATTTCCATCAGGTAGGACTCCGGCTACGGACTGCTCTGCTGAGCCTCGCCGCACTTGCACAACTCGCGATGAGCGCACCTGCGACTCCCAGAAGGAGCGGGCACCCTTCGCATTCTGCTTGGCCTGCTTGGCTGCTTTGATATCGGTGCCGCGTCGCTCCTTGTCCACAGTTGTGTAGGATCTGAACAAGCTCGTCATGGCTACGTTCCCAGTCTGGAAGGCAGTGGCGGAGAGTGAGCGATGTTTTCCGAGAGAGGGTCCGAGTTGCTCGATGCTGTCTTTCTCATCATCCCAAAGTAAGTTGCTGCTGAGACTGCAATTAGACTTGCACGCAACCGTCGCTTCAATGCCGCGGCAGAGAAAAAATAAATTTTGCTAGTGACTACTACGCTGGTCACATCGACGTCGGCGATCATACGCCCAACCTGCTTGGCTTTCGCCTGTGCTATCCTCGTATCCCGAGAATTAGTAAGTCCCGTGGGTTCTCCACTGTCATGTCCAGGCAGTTACTTCACCGTGTCTGAGAGTCCCACAGCACTGTCACTCGTGTCATGCAGCGTTGAGCTAAAGCTGAAGATAGCTGCTGGCTATATTCGGCTTGATGTTACGGTCGCCGTGTCGTGCAACCTCACAACTCGGCGATCGGGTACGTAGATCTACCGTCCTTGAATGCATGCGGTCCTCGTTTGATCATGCAGCGGAACGCGAAGGCCAACGCAGTTCACGGGTTGTCCCAGCCTTTTTGCGTGGATTCACCACATGACACCACTGAGTTCTGGACTCTGGTACTCACACACGAACTCGCCAAGCACATCTTCATTCTTCGTGTGACCATTTCGACGCGCCGCTGCACGTACATGCGCGGGTATCGAGTAGGTTATGTCACTCAACACAACACTCCTGACTGTTTACTTATATAACAGTAGTTGGTGTTTGTTATCATGGTTATGGCCCGTAGAGTCTACGCGGTACTAGTAGAAGCCTGGCTGTAGCACTAGCAGCCACTTTCTCTCAAGAATGTCAAGCATTTCGAGCCAGATGAAGACTGTGTCAAAACGGGGACAGCGAAAGGTCTTGTCTGTAGAGTCTTGACAGCTGGATTCTCCCACACGGTAAGCCACGGGTATCAGTAGTAATACATGTACTAGTAATAGTTGAAATAAGCTGCTTTTAGCGGTCATATCATCAGTGTTCGCATTGACTACACTTCGTAGACTGAGTCTGTGAATGTGATACGTATCTAATATTGACTGAGTACGAGGTCAATATAGGAAATAAAAGCCGAGTAAAAGACCGAGGCGAAGCCGAGGTCTTTTACGAGGTTTTTATTTCCTATACTGACCAAGTACGAAGTCAATATTAGATTTATCACGACAAACAGTCCGTATTTCAAATTCCAAAACGATAACCTCTTGAATCCCGGTTTTATGATTGCACAACCGTTGCACCACCACCTACTCATGCAGTGACAATGCTGCACTAGGCACCGGTCCGTTCAACTGCGCGACCCCTAAGCAGTCAAATATAAGCAGTCAATATAGCCCTAAGGAATGAAATATGCAGGAATATTTGACTGCTTAGGTATGGCAAAAATCTATGTGAGTCAATACTAAGGGAGTGATAAAGTCATGTACTGTCGTGGACATGGAAATCCGGTCGCACGTCTAGCGGCCCCAGGGCGCTGGCCATGCAGCCATGGCACGCGCTGCTAGCTGCTGCATCGTATCAACATGTGCGCTGCATGCAACGACTTCCGTTTCATGCACCCTGGGATGCGCCGAGCACGGTGAGCCAACCGCTGCCACTGCAATTCACGCGCTGAGGGCGCCGGCCCCGGTCAATCGACTGGATTTCCATGTCCGCGACAGTACGCGTCGTTTACAATTATTATCATGGTTTATGTTTGACCCAGCAACTACTACTACTACGTAGTACTAGCAGTAGCACTACAACACATAATAAATTTTAATTGTAAGTCTTGTAATGATACTGATACAGTGATAGTCCCCACCGTAGATCTACTACTAGTAGTCTCCAGATCGCGCAGAGCTACTAGTACAGCAAAACCTGTGATAGCCCCTTGGAGCCAGATAATGCGGTCTTTAGTGGCAGGGGTGGTCCTTAGTTAGAGGCCCCACAACCATAATAATAATTATGAATGTGAGACCATCCGTGCCTGGCGAAGTGGTCGGTAGTACCAGGCTGGTCGCTAGTCACGGTGGTCTTTACTCTTTAGTTACAGGTTTTGACTGTACTTGACTTGGAGAGGACCGTGATGTGGCACAAGCAGGGAGTCGGTATTTTACGACTTCCTGGGCACAAGTAACTACTTACAGTACAGTCAAGTTTGCGTATAACGACACTCGCGGGGTATACCCAAAGTCTCATTATATGTGTTACAGTCAGATGGGACTTTGCTCTGGGCATGGAAATTATGTCGTTATTCGTGAATTGTCGTTATATCCGCAGTCGTTATCAGCGAAGTTGACTGTAGGACTTCTAGCTTTTGGCCATAAAAATGGGTCAAACTTTGAGTTTTTTAAAGAATTTGTTTGGCAATCCCCTATGGAATGCTTTTCCAATTACTGTATTTTACCGGTTAAAGGTCGACCCCCGTATCCGGAAGTCTCAATTCTGGTTTTTAAGTTTTCACCCAACGAAGCACTACTAACCACTCCCTGCTACTTACACATCAACAGATCATGTAAACATTTCTTATTGGAGGGTATAACATCCCAATCCTTGAAAAAAGGCTAATAAACTGGCAAAATTTTGTACACATGGTGCACTCGTGCATGCAGTGCAGGTAATATTTTGTAAGATACTGATAGTTCCCGGTTATACGTCGAATCCCGGTTGTAAGTCGACCCCCCCACCCTTTCTCCTTCTATTTTTAGTCGTAAAAGGTCGACTTACAACCGGAAAAATACGGTACGTTTCTAAAGTCTGTTTCTCAAAAAAGCAAGCCGTAACAAGAATAGGATTTCGGCCAGGTTTTGCTCCGAAAGCACTGAATTGGGAGAATACAGGCCGAATCACTCCACTTGCAACAGTGCATTGTGCGGTTCGAACCCCAGTTGAGGTACCTTTTTCGGATCCCTTTTCACGTTTCAAAGTTCACACCACTGCACCATGTACGATAAAATCGCCAACAACAGAATACAACTATGTTACTTGTGGTACCGGTGCCCCGCCGGTAGATTCTATGCAGTATGCTACAAGATTGTGTGGATGGTACCACCAGAAGTGGAGAATATTATTTCTCACTGCCAGATGAGCAGTATCGTTGCTACAGTCAACTTCGCTAATAACGACTGCGGACATAACAATGATTTGCGAATAACGACAGAATTTCCGTGCCCAGAGCGAAGTCCCATCCACCTGTAATACATATAATGAGACTTCGGGTATAACGACACTTCGCGAATAAGGACACTTTTCTGATGCCCGGCCGAGTGTCGTTATAAGCGAAGTTGACTATACATGAAAAATGGTGTAGATTGACCAGTCTTAGTCTTACACAGCGTTTGGCTTCACCAGATCAACAAGCACATAAACTGAACAGGCACAAAGTAAGTTAGTGAAGAAGGCAACATCACACCAGGCTTTGTGATGCTACTGCTGGCATGTGCATGTGTGTGTGTGTGTGTGTGTGTGTGTGTGTGTGTGTGTGTGTGTGGTGTGTTTGAAATGTGTGCATGTGTGTGTGTGTGTGTGTAAAAAAATGAAAAAAATGAAAAATAGGGATCCACTGACCAGAACAAGCCACTTCAACCAGTACAGCCGTGTGGTGGATACCAGGCTAAAAATTACATGTAGTGCGGTCAATTCATCAGCCTTGCAAGCTGTTGAATGGTGTAATCCCAGCATAAGTTGCTATGTCTAACATCGCTGTTCATTATCATCGCTCCAGCGATGGGCATGTCTGAGGTCTGAGGTCTGAGGTCTGAGGTCTGAGGTCTGAGGTGTGTGTGTGTGTGTGCCTGTGTCTGTGTGCGTGTGTGTGTGTGTGTGTGTTTGTGTGTGTGTGTGTGTGTGTGTGTGTGTGTGTGTGTGTGTGTGTGTGTGTGTGTGTGTGTGTGTGTGTGTGTGTGTGTGGTGTGTGTTTGAAATGTGTGCATGTGTGTGTGTGTGTGTGTGTGTAAAAAAAATGAAATAGGGATTCACTGACCAGAACAAGCCACTTCAACCAGTACAGCCGTGTGGTGGATACCAGGCTAAAAATTACATGTAGTGCGGTCAATTCATCAGCCTTGCAAGCTGTTGAATGGTGTAATCCCAGCATAAGTTGCTATGTCTAACATCGCTGTTCATTATCATCGCTCCAGCGATGGGCATGTCTGAGGTCTGAGGTCTGAGGTGTGTGTGTGTGTGTGTGTGCCTGTGTCTGTGTGCGTGTGTGTGTGTGTGTGCATGTGTGTGTGTGTGTGTGTGTGTGTGTGTGTGTGTGTGTGTGTGTGTGTGTGTGTGTGTGTGTGTGTGCGCAGCTGAGTTTGGTCTTACAGTTAGCGCTACCAAGACAGTTCTTCGTCGCGGGCAGGGATGTTTCGCCTGGGGTCTGCGCTCCAATCGAGCTAGCACACCCAACTCTTGGAGATGTGGGGTGACACTGATACCGTCTGCACGAAGGCTGCACAGCGTCGGCTAGAGTGGTTGGGCCATGTGCCTGGATGGACAGTAGCCGGATGCCGAGACAGATCCTGTTTGGCTCACTTCCCACACGTCGCCCAGCACATGGCCCTCGCAAGCGCTGGAAGGATTGCGTTGTGTCCGATCTAAGAGTCCGTGGCCTCACCAAGGACTGGTATCCTACCGCCTGTAAGTCCCGCGCTGACTGGCGGGCTATGTATGCCGAGCCTGTGGAGAATGCGCCTAAGCCTGGCCCAGTGGCATGTACGGATTGCAATCGGTCATTCTCGCGCCCTGCAGATCGCCGTGCTCGCCACAAATGTGTGGTTTCGCGGGCCAAGCCGATTGCTGAGCAGCGAGGGGCTTGTCACTGTGGAGATTGTGGGCTTTGGTTTCGCAGCAAGGGTGGTCTAGCTGTTCACCGCTGTTCCGCTCCTCAACCTCCCGATCCCTGTCAAGTCTATGTACAGGATGCCTGCTGTGCTGCGCACTGTGCTGTGTGTGCCAGCTGCTTTCGGACTGTGTAAGGCTGCGGTCGTCACCGGTGTTCGAGGACTGGTCCCCGCCTGACTGCCCAGCAGCGTAATTCGTTCTCTCATGTATGCGTGTGTTCTCGCTGGTTCCGTTTGCTCCACCATCTCCGGCGTCATCAGGCCGCGTGCTCCATCTTCCTCTCTGATGCCCCTCCGGGGCCCACGTGACCCCTGTGGCAGTGGCTCTACAGGACAGGACAGGTGTGTGTGTGTGTGCATGTGTGTGCGCGTGTCGTGTGTGTGTATGTGCATGTGTGTGTGTGTGTGTGTGCATGTGTGTGTGTGTGTGTGTGTGTGTTATCGCTGCTCACGGACCTGTAGTCGTCCGACCGTTCAGGACCGTCAGGGTTTCACATGCGTTTGCGCCTGCTCCCGCCGATTTCGCTTACCGCATCACCTGGATCGTCACAGGGCTGTGTGCTCCTCCTCTCTCTCAGCTGCCCCTCCGGGCCCACGTAACCTTCATGGCAGTGGCTCAACAGGACAGGTGTGTGTGTGTTGATGTGTATGTTTGTTGGTTTGTGCATGTGCACATTTAACGAGAGAGCTTGGAAGCTCAGGGCCCTGCGCTATGCTTTTTTGCCTTGATGACCTAGACAAAAAAAAGCATAGGGATGTTTTCTTTAAAAAAATCCTTTTTTTTAAACCTGGGATTCGAACCCGCACTATCGCGCGCCCTGCATGCAGCCCCCGATACACTTCGCATACATACTAATTCTTCCAAGTTGTTTCACATCGTGATCTTGCATTTGAAAGCCCTATTTGAATATGCATTGTGGCCAGCCATCTTTGATGGCACGGTACGGTAGGGAATAGGTACGGGACAGGTACGATCGAGGGTAATACGACACCGTCTAGCTGCCCGCAATATTCAAATAGGGCTTTCAAACGCAAGATTAACGTGAAGCAACTTGGAAGAATGGGTATGAATGCGAAGTGTATGGGGGAATGCATGTAGGGCGATAGTGCGGGTTCGAATCCCAGGATATGCCTGAAAAAAAGGAGAATTGAAAAATTTATAACATCCTATGCTTTTTTGCCGTCAGATACGGATGGCGCCAGGCGTGACACAAACAAACAAACAAACAAACAAACACACAAACAAACAAATACCAAATTAAAGCTGTGTGGACCCTGGCTAGCGCCAGACGTTACTGAAGTAACGTCTTCTGCATAGCTACGGGAATTAATTTTAATTAACCAAGCACACATGGTTTTTTTGTGTGTGTTGGTTTGTGCATGTGCACAAACCAACAAACATACACATCAACACACACAAAAAAAAACATGTGTGCTTGGTTGCCCATGCCCCTACATGCCCCTACATGCCACTCAAACTCCCTATAAACAGTTACCACTCCATTGTACATTGCCCAGTGCCACTTTCACTGTGTCAGTTGTAACCACTATGTTCTACCACACCAACTCCTTTAGTGTCACCATTGCAGCACACTGCATTCCGTGCCTGCACATGCATGCACACCTTGATTTTGACCTTGATGAGTACTGCTTATTGTAGGCGTTGTGGACCCCCTGAGGGGTAGTGGCCGCTGGGACTTGAGAGCAGTACTAATAGCGAAACCGGGCTAGCACTTGATGTGCCAGTTCAAATCCTGAGGTGGTGGCAAGGGCAAAGCAAGCATAGAAACGGAAGGGCCAGCATTCATTGACAGGTGGTCATGGGGCTGGGGCTGGGGATGGGCAGCACTGGGGGGGCGGGGGGGGGGGGGGGCTGGGGATGGGCAGCACGGGGCGGGGGTGATGCCTATTGTTGTTGTATACACCTGTACCTTTATTTATAGTGGAAGTCAAAACAGGCATACGCCTAATAACGATGGACCCACTGCACTGTGGACCACTCTTGCCGCAGTTGGACTATAATTATTACATATTAAGAAGAGAAAAGCAGTACCTGTACTGCCTGCTGGCAGGCATGTCAGTAGGTCCCACAGCAAGCTGGTACATGCACCTCAGGCTCAGACAGGGACACCCACATGCATGCATGCACATCACGGCGCACACCTAAAAATTCAAGCCCACTGTACTGGTACACTGCTACGAGTATTTCCTGCAGTGGAGCCTGAAAAGTACAATACATAATGTATGTGTTATGGAGTCACTATGACTACAGTGGAGTCGCTCGCCCAGGGAAGTTGCTTCCAAGGACCTGGGACATCATAGTTCTTATTCTCAGCAGCCTGGCTGTGTTCTAATAATGTTAGCATGTTCTTAGAAACAATTCGCACTGGATCATATGTACGCATTACAACATACTTCAAGTAAATGTTTCTGGATATAGTAATACTGCACCATAATGCATTACAATCAACTTCTCTCCCACACTTCCTCCAGAAGTTCTCTCTCTCTCTCACCGTCTGTGTCTGTCTGTCTCTGTCTCTCTCCCTCTCCCTGTTTGTGTGTGGGTGTGTGTGTATGTGTGTGTGTGTGTGTGTGTGTGTGTGTGTGTGTGTGTGTGTGTGTGTGCACGTTTCGCAGGAGAGGTTCAAACCGTGCTGCCGGAGTGAAACCCTGTGCCTAAAACCAGTCGCCAGGCATTAACATCTCAGCTGCAGCTTATAGCCTTGTGTGCCGATGTGTGATTTTTAAACTTGGGTAGTTTTCTATGTACACTTGACAGCATAGCTAGATACTATGGGGTCTCAGCATGACAACACAACGTACTTCAAGTACATTCATTCTTGACACCATGCTGTATGGTAACAATCCATGCCAAGACCTGCCCATGGGTGGAGAATGTGGAGGACTGACAAAAGATCTAACACAAACAGGCTGACACCAAAACACAGGCAGGAGCATGAACATGATGAAGGCAGTTCAGTCATGATTCCGAGTTTGCAACATCACGCGTAAGTTACACTACACTAATCGTGTTTGTGATAGGTGATAATCTTGGCAGGTTGTTATCTGTTACTTCTAGCCAACGACACACGTTACGTATAGGATAGTTAAGCACGTCAACACACGTTACGTATAGGATAGTTAAGCACGTCACTGCGGACAGGGAATGGCTGCATAGTTTAGCATTGACAAAAACACACCTGCAGCTGTCAAATATATCGAGAACAAGGAAGTCACTGTAAGGAATGAAGAGAATATCAGGTTCATGGGACGGTGTTGTCTGTGCACCCTTGCTATCAATTGTCAAAGCAAGTCTCGTCCGAATATGGACAATTTATTTGCCACTCCTTACAAGTAAGTTCATTGCTATTCTTTCGTTGCACAAAATCCACATGACGGCCTTCACAGAGCAGTCCCAACCAAAAATGGTGCCATGTATGGACAGTCAAGGCAACTGCTTGATTAACCCTTTGAGAGCCGACCCATACTTGAATGTGTAGAATTCTACACACTCGACTGTGAGACTTCAACTGGCCGTAACTCGGTCAAAACTAGCTCAAATTCAACGATCCAAATATCTACCTTGAAGAGAAAACTCTCAGTGTGCCGTAGAACCCATCCGCGACGCGCTGCGATCAACGGTTCTTGAGATAAATCACTCGTAAGTTCAGCCGCGATCGCGGCACTTGAAAAGCGTGGGAGTGCAACTTGAAAGTTGAGAATTTTGAGACTTTTCCTCGCGCTGAGTTACTCAAATTTGCGTGGGTTTCACTGGTAGTATTTCCAAGGGTACACAGCGAAAAAATGGAAACTCTGCGATCAAGAAAAATGAAAATGCTGGAGCAGGACGAAAGTGCACGCATTTCAAGCAGTTTTCGCTAGTTCGCTGCTCTCCGGCGCTGGAGATATGGCGTCCTGGTCATCATGCGTGACCTCAGTCTCTTCCTCTCGCGGAGACCTTTCCAGGAAGCCCAAGATTGTGAAGATTGAGTGAGTAGAACTGAAGTTACGTCCCAAAGAACATGAAAATATGCAGAATTTTGAAATTTTCAATCGGCTCTCAAAGGGTTAAGAAACCGACCGTTTTTGTTTCGCTCTGTAAAGAGCACTTAGGGGGTCTGCTGTCTTAAATCCTACTCTTTTTTTCTATTTTCTTTTTTTTCTTTTTAATCTTTTCCTTACATTTGTGTGCCTGTTTGTCTTTAGTCGATCTCATGTAATAAGGCAACACTGCCTGTTTGTTATTCGACGTTAAATAAACCAATCCAATCCAATCCAATCCAGGGTTCCCTGTAACAAGACGGCAACGTCTGTAGGGCCTTCCCTATCAAAATAATAAATTCTACTACTACTACTACCTGATGAATACAACAGCTAGCTCCAGGACTACTAGTAGTAGTACTACTACTAGAAACACTGGATCGTGCAAGAAAACAAACGGCTCACCTTTATATTTGTGAGATTGGATTTCCCTGTGCCACAGCTGCTACTACAATGCATGCTGGCAACTGAAATCCGACCCCTTAGCGATGCGTTCACATTCTAGCGGTCTCAATTTCGTAGTTTTACTATCCCGTGTGTTGGGTCTTTGCGATGTGAGCGCACCGCTCAGGGATCGGATTTCAGTTGCCAGCACTGTCCTTCTAAGTAGTTGATCAGCTGGCAGCTTTCCGATGGCATGAATCCAAACAAGTCACAGAAATAACTTCAAAATAAGATTTCAAGAAGTATGTGCAACGATCTCATTCACTGATAGACACAGAAGGAACGGCTTGGATCAAGACATATCACCTAGCTGCATAGGAGCCATCTGTAACGACTCGACTCAATCTGCTGGTACTTTTGCTTCATGTACAGTCCATTTCAAAACTATAGACGCGTACCTAGGCAAAAACCGTTATGCCAGCATCTATACCACATAAAATCTGTGATCACTTTGTGCATAATTTTTTCCAAATTGGGCGTCTGTTATCCAATCCTTTAGAAACTATATGAGAGAAATCTGTGATCACTTTGTGCATAATTTTTTCCAAATTGGGCGTCTGTTATCCAATCCTTTAGAAACTATATGAGAGTAATTGTGGAGCGATCCTGAGCAATATTCCGAAAACTATTCTCAAAAAGTTCCAGCCAAATTTGAAATATTTCAAAAACCCTACGCGTCTATAGTTTTGAAATGCACTGTAGTTAAGTGGCTGCAGTGGCGCCTCAATACTTATTTTTTATCTTGAGAAGTGAATGATGTAAAGGATTAAAGGGAGAGGCCGTTTTCTGGTTATTATTCACTGCTCACAGCAGACCCTATGTCTAATTTCGAACTCTGGATAGGGGATGCCTAATTGGCTGGACTTTATACAGGGAGTGTTGTCCACATAAAGACTCTTTATAGTTGATTTCAAAGTTTGGACTCCATACAGTTGATTTTGGACCAATGGACTCTATATAGGGGTTAAGCCAATTGGCTGGACTCTATACAGGGAGTGATGTCCATCTAAACGTTGAGCTCACAGTTGATTCCAAGCTTGGACTCTGTACAGTGGATTTTGGACCAATGGACTCTATATAGGGGTTGGACATCATATAGGGGCTGGACGCTCTACTGAGTCTAACATATATTTTATAAAACATTTCCATTAGTAGGCATTACATGATATAATCCAAAACTGGTAAACCAGTATTAGATAAACCTTGTTGTAGTTCACGCAATTGTTAGATTGACAGCATGAAACAAGGAGGAGGACACTGTGTTCGAAAACAGTGACCTTACTACAACCTTCCGCCCATATGGTTCAAATGGTCCGCAGGGACCGGGGCTCTGCCAACCGCGGAAGGTTGTAGTAAGGTCACTGTTTTCGAACGCAGTGTCCTCCTCCTTGTTTCTTGCTGTCAATCTAACAATTAGGCATAACATGTACCAGATTGCAACAGTGACGCAGCAACAGTTTAGCTCATAAGCAGCACAGTGTTGCCAGGGCTGACAGCAATGTGATTAATGTTGGGCTGTCTGGGATAGATTTATCATAGGGATAAAAATTGCTAGCCATGTGATAATATAATTCGAGGGATGGCCAGGCTGTGCATTCATGGCGTAACGTGCAGACTACTCGTCGTCATTCCTCCGCGTGGATTCTTCCTCTTCTTCCTCTGGGGACTGTCATCAGATGATGGCACTGTCTTTTTCGGCTTCTTTTTAGCTGCAGCCAAAAAAAACAGCGACAACAGTACAGGTCATTGAACTTGAAGAGTGCAAACCATCATCCAATGGAAACGGAGACACAAGCAAGCCTGAACTGAGAACATTTCAGCGCAATGTGGTTCATTGTGCCACTTATAAACCCGAACCGCACACCATTTGCATAATCAACCACTCGCTGATACATCTACCAGGTTGTTGCTACCATGAGTCAAGCCCCGAGCTTGCCAAGCACTGAAGCAGACCACCTCCGTCCTCAAGACGAATGCTCTTTCAGAGCGTGACTTCGCGCAGCTTGACCGCCTGCTGCGTCAGAACCCTGCAGCCGATACCCTGGCTCTTGACTTGTCACTGAGTCTTGACGGGATGATTGCGTTTGCTAACAATCGCACAGCAGAGTGGCTGACTGCCAAATCAGAAGAGCAGAGGTCTGAAATCATTGCCAGTGCCCGGAAAGCTGCACCTGTCATGTGACTGCTGTACAAGGAGCGGCAGCAGGAGATCCTTGCGCATCGGATTGCATCGATAAAAAAAGGAGGCGGAGATCACGAGGAAGCTGCAAGTGCAACATGAGAGAAAGGAGCGCCTGTCGAAGGAAGTTGAGCAACATGGCCTGTGGACAACTGTGGAGGAAGTAGGCGCACGACTTGCACTTCTCCCCACCATCACCAAGAAGAAAGCAGCGCTGAAAGCTCAGTTTCAGTTCCGGAAGTTCGTGCTGCAGCAGTCCGCACCTGCCCGCTATTTTGCCATGAGCAGGAACCGGACTTGACTGTGGATGAGTTGACAGCCAATTATTATTTGGCATGTCATCCTGCCGATGCGTCTGTTCTCGCTGTGACTCCAAGATCCCCTGAAGCAACTGAGGATGCAGAAGAGGAAGAAGAAGTTGCTGATTGTGCTTTTGAGCTGCCTGCAGAAGAGGCTGCCGATTGTGCTGTCGAGCCTGCTGCCAAGCGTCCACTGTTGTGAGACGGTGTGTGTTTGATGCTTTCCTTGCCCCCCCCCCCTCCCCCCCCCCCCCCCCACACACACTTCCCTGTATCAGTGTGTGCATCTCGCACGTGTAGTGTGTGTTTGTAGTGTATGCCTTCTTGTGTGTGTGTGTGTGTGTGTGTGTGTGTGTGTGTGTGTGTGTGTGTGTGTGTGTGTGTGTGTGTGTGTGTGTGTGTGTGTGTGTGTGTGTGTGTGTGTGTGTGTGTGTGTGTGTGTGTGTGTGTGTGTGTGTGTGTGTGTGTGTGTGTGTGTGTGTGTGTGTGTGTGTGTGTGTGTGTGTGTGTGTGTGTGTGTGTGTGTGTGTGTGTGTGTGTGTGTGTGTGTGTGTGTGTGTGTGTGTGTGTGTGTGTGTGTGTGTGTGTGTGTGTGTGTGTGTGTGTGTGTGTGTGTGTGTGTGTGTGTGTGTGTGTGTGTGTGTGTGTGTGTGTGTGTGTGTGTGTGTGTGTGTGTGTGTGTGTGTGTGTGTGTGTGTGTGTGTGTGTGTGTGTGTGTGTGTGTGTGTGTGTGTGTGTGTGTGTGTGTGTGTGTGTGTGTGTGTGTGTGTGTGTGTGTGTGTGTGTGTGTGTGTGTGTGTGTGTGTGTGTGTGTGTGTGTGTGTGTGTGTGTGTGTGTGTGTGTGTGTGTGTGTGTGTGTGTGTGTGTGTGTGTGTGTGTGTGTGTGTGTGTGTGTGTGTGTGTGTGTGTGTGTGTGTGTGTGTGTGTGTGTGTGTGTGTGTGTGTGTGTGTGTGTGTGTGTGTGTGTGTGTGTGTGTGTGTGTGTGTGTGTGTGTGTGTGTGTGTGTGTGTGTGTGTGTGTGTGTGTGTGTGTGTGTGTGTGTGTGTGTGTGTGTGTGTGTGTGTGTGTGTGTGTGTGTGTGTGTGTGTGTGTGTGTGTGTGTGTGTGTGTGTGTGTGTGTGTGTGTGTGTGTGTGT